ACACAAATAATGCGAAATCCTGACAGGTATCATTCAGGGCGCGGTCACTGAATTCAACAACACTCTCCCGGAAAGAGGACGGTATTCTCAGGTTCCTCTGTGCTCGGCAGCCGAGGAGGAGATATTTGATCACAGCTCGAAATCTCCGGCCTAGCTCTGGCCGAGGTTTTTGGGAGATTCCGGAGAGATTCGGAATCGAGTTCCCAACCTCCCAGTGATTTCTCCGGATTCACCGCGAGTTCAGAGGCGGCTCTCTCTATCAATCTGCGGAACCGAGGCGGTAGCGCGTGTCAATGGATCCTAATGTTCAAGCACGCGAGTCTCAGATGCTCTCTTTGTCTACAGCATGTTTCTTGTTCGTAACTGGTCGATTTCACGCCGAAAAGAAAGTGAGTTTCTGATTATTAAGCAAGCTGCTCCTGTTCATGTCGCGCTCTGCCTCATCCATTGATTCATATTTTCATCCATTTCTCATTCTTGTCTTCGAAGGCAAACGCGATATTTTTCTGGCGAAGCTGGCCACGCCTGCTCGAGGCTCAGGGAGAGTCTTCCCCGGGCAGCTCTGCATACAGTCGATGGCTTTCGACTTATCCGAGCCGATGGCCTACATATGTCTCGAGACCCTCCACCTTCGCGCCAGGAAGTAGAGGGAGTCCGAAGCTCCAAAAATCAAGGAAAAGGCTTCGACCACGAGAAGGGGTCGGAGCCGAAAATCGGGGTTGAAGTCAGTTTCGACGCCCGCGCCGCGCCGACGGAGAACCTTCGAGAGATTCTTCCCTGAATCTCTCGGGCCGCGCCCCGGAGTGCGTCTGTGTAAATAGTCAGGGTGCAATTCGCATCAGATGGGACTTCGATACCGTTCACACCCAGGCAGGAGTAAGGAGGGCCGACAATTAGCGCCGTGTGGGCCTTCCGATCAAGGCACAATATCCAGTACGTGCACGCCATTGTATCAGCTCTGGTGAATCCCCGCTCGTCTCTTTGTCAGCGTTCCCTCCTCGCAAATCTTCATTCATTACAATCGAACGTGGCGTGACCTCCTAGTCTCATTTTATGGACTGTTGTTGAAATCACGCCATGCTGCTCGAGCTGACGTTTTTTTTTCGCAGCTCGTTTGCCCCCGTTTTCTGAAAAGTGACACGTGACACGTCCCTTACACGCGACGGATCCGACTCGTGAAATCCCACGGTCCTCTGGAGCAGGAGGAAAGAACATTTTTGCTGATTTCCGGCCAGAACTGATCGCGCAATGATGTTCTGACCGAATCTGTGCGCATGGCCAATTACCTTCACCGTCTAGGACAGTGGTTCCCGAATTTTTTCGGCCCGTGGCCCCCCTATGAGCCTCAAGCATGGAATCCGTTGACCCCTGTGGCTCCCTTCCATAGGATCTTATGGAGGTCCGAGGATCGCCGTGGCTCCCAAGGGGACCACATGGCTCACTTTGGGAAACACTGGTCTAGGACGATCGAGACCGGTGCTCAACTGAGCTGGTGGCTCCGAGAAGCTTGCGTGTCAATCGCTCGGGATTGCGCGCGAAAATCCGGAATTTCGGAGCGTTTTTACGAACTTACCCTTGTCAGATTGACGATGGAATTTCCCCGGCACTTTCCCGCGCTCGGAGGACATTGCTAGACTCGAGAGCTCTCGGGAACTCACCGGTTGGAATCCCTAAATCTCCCGAGCTTTGCCGTTACGGAGCGACCCATGGACAAGATGAGGCGACGACGTTAAATGGAGCTGGGAACAAGATTATGTGCGTGGGTGTAAGCATCGAGTACGCATGGTGACACGTTTCGCCGAGCAGAAGATATATCGGATGGAGGAGCTTGTCCTGGGTAAATACGCGGATATGTGTACTCAGGCACAGTGGCAACAAATAACTTTGTACTAAGACTAGTGGATCCCTCTTACTCGCGAAGACTGGGAACGGAACACATGGACGAGAAGGAATTGGGTCCTCCGAGTGAAAGACTCGGTCCTAGTATGTGCCTTGCCGCTCCGAGCGTCGAATGAGATGCGGCATTCCCATGGGAGTTTCTGTCGGAGGGATCCCCATTCTTCCGTTTCCTGATGTTCAACTTTCCTTGGATCATTCCCATGCTTCCCCTCGTCTTCCAGGCCGACGCCTAGTCTTGATCGGGGGCACTGATTTTTGACCCACGAGCAACCCCACTCTCTCAAACATTGAGAACAGAATCGGAGTCACTCCCCGAACAGATCCATATACTGCAGAGTCTCGCGGTATCAGCCCAGCCGGTGTTCTATCTCGGAGTGTGGAGATTGGGACAGATCAAAATTCCACCGGGTTACTCGGTCGAGAGGTTTCACTCAGAGGACCTGAAAACCCGACAGTTCCCGCTTCAGCGGGTCAGGATTCGGACAACGCCGCGGCGACGTACGCTGGATGGGGAGCTTCTCGTTGTGCTTCGACGGAATGGGTCGCTGTGAAACGCTGCGAGATGTCTCTGTGTCCATGCTCCTGACTCGTGATCTTCAATCTCGAGTGAAAGAAAATCTTTCAGACTGAGTCGACCAATTTGGATCGGCAGTGCTCGGAGACTACTATTTCGCCATAGCTGGAAGCTTCCCTAAGCCGCTTTTGTGCGCAGAAAGTCGATGGCGTATCCCATTCAGATCGAGAGCACCTGGGAAATGTCATCACGAACCGATGAAGACTCACTGCATTGCGGGACTCCATCATCCGACCGTATGGTCAGAGAACGCAATTATTGCAGTAGACCTCGCCGTGGAACATTTTACACTATCTCATTTACGAGCAATCTCCGAGATTATTGAGAACTATACCTCGAGCTAGACGTTGATGAGGTCAAGGTTTTCAATAATAGTTGACCACAATCTGTTATTGTTATTCTCCGTCGCCGCGACCCGCTCCACAAGGCGACACTCCATTCGAGTGGGTCTCTGTTATCACGGCATCCATGGGACAAAGAGTATTTGTCGCGATGGCGTGAGCTCCGGCGCAGCTTGCCGCTCTCCTGTCGGAGCAGGCTCATCAGATGACAGAAGCAGGAGCGGAAAATCAAACCTCGCGGACTCGATGAATTGGCTCAGCTCGACCAGGGCTGACACATGTGTGAACTCGTTCAACAGTGAACAAATGCCTAGTGGAATTGCGGCGGCGACGTCGAACACGGCGAGTCAGATCGAGGCGTCTGCGTAGTTACAGTGTTTCCACGTGGGCAGCTGTCGCGCAGCACAATGCGAGTGTCAATAGGTTCTGCGTAGTTTCTCGAGAGTACTCTCCGCGAGGCGGCTCGTACTGAATATTTCAGACACCAGAGCACCGAAGAGTCTAGTTAAGCCTCCAGAATGGAGAGGACGTCATCTGATGGTATGCGGGGTCTTGATCTGTTCATCCACGGTATAAGCGGATTCCGACCGCCTCTATCCTCTATGTTAGAGGAGGACCAAGGTATCGATCCGTCCCGTCAGAGGCTTCTGATTAGCGCTGCCCATGTTCAGCTCATCGGTAAAATCTGACACATATCGAACGGTCCCCATACCTAGCCCTGGGTGTAGATTACAGCCCGTCCTCGATCAGGGTTGGGATGCTGCCTGACGACGGGACGTCTCCTGAAATCGGATGGAGGGCGGCTGGGCGCAAGGCGCATCCATCGGATGATTGAGTCGATTGTCGTCTGAAAATTTGCCCGGGCATTCGATTGACGGAACTCAGTTTCCGAATGCCAAGTCTTAGGCATTCTATGAGCGAGTATATGAATTCTCGAGGAAATGGTTCGAGAAATGGAATTAGGAAACGCGGAAACGAATCCCGACGCCTCACACCGGAGTCGCCTCCTTGGTGAATGGGTAGGCCCTTCAAGGTTGAATTAGCCGCGCCAAGCGGACAATTTTCTGCTGAAAAGCGTCGCCTCAAAAGTCCGCCTTTGTCGCTCCGTAGAGATTTCGATGGCCCCTTTCACGCATCGTGAGAAAGAACGCGCAGCCATCATTCTGTTCAGCCGGGAACGTAGGAGAGCTAAAGGAATGGAGTCAAAAAGTCATACGAAGCACCGTACCGCTCGATCCCTAACAGGCCTACCCTGGATGAGAGTCCACGATCGGATGGCATGCAGCTGCAAGGAACTCATTTTCCGAGTCCGATCGAGCAGGCAACTCCATTTCCCGGGAAAATAACGAAGCTCGATTGAGTTTCGGCCCAGATGACTAGAAGCCAGCGAAACGTTTCGGAACTTTGTTGCCTATATGCTTCGCGCAGCAGGAAGCACGGTTGATCTCTGAGGGAATCGGTTCCCCACAGGGCAGTATAGTGATCGTGGAGACGGCGACAAAAATCGTGACAGCATCTGGGATACATCTTGATAGCGTAAGAATCATGTTAGAATGATCAAATGAGCTCGGCCAGATCCCTGCCTGGTGATCGCCTCGCCGCGCCGTTGGGTCTGTCCGACAAAATGAGACGAAATCCGACGGAAAGGCCTCTCCCATGAAGGAACTTTCGGAATGAATAGTCATCCCCGTAAAGGAGAGCGTATTTTTCGAGAAAGGTCCCCCTCGGACGAAAATTAGATAGGGGACAGGGGCGGGAAGGATATGGCGATGGAAGGAATGAGGGACGAGAAGGCTGGAAATGGGGATCGAAACCAGAACGCATGGGCTATTTCCTCGGAGCTCTCTATCCCTGTGCGGTTGAATTCATTTATAGCTGCTTTGTCTGAGGAGGTATCGCCATTGGAGAAAATTTCAAAATTTCTGCTTCCGCGAGTGTGTCGCCCGAACAGAAGCTCTTGTATAGACTTGGAATTAGAGACAGACAGGAGCATATGGCATCCGTTCGCTCCGAAATCGCATTAGCGCCGACGTGAACGGGGTTTCAAAGCGCCTCTACCTTGATGGATCTCCGGTCCCTGCTGCTCTGGCGACTTACTTGCTGAGGCGGCGGGAGCTAAGAGCAAAGATCTGAAGACATCCTGGCCTCGATGCCGCTGGCTTATCACTGTAATTTCTTTATTCCAGTCTACCCGGAGGTTTCCACGAGCACCTCTTGTCTGCTTCGGCAGTCTTCAACGAAGCGAGCGCGCGAGGCTCACGCTGAGGTTCCCAGAGGATGTTGAAGAACTCGCTGTCTCTCGTTGACGAATGTCGGATTCCACTCTCGTCGAGTCTCGACCTAAGCAGCTGTAAATTCAACAAAATGAGACACTCCGGAGCAGCACCCCTCCCAATCCTAATCCTACATTCGCGGAGATGGACGGTTCTGTCAGTCATCCTGATAACAATCTTAGGATTTTATTTCTTGTTTCCTTCGGAGGCCTTCTGTAAAGAAGGTGGTCTCCTGCGATCGAGCCAGGTGAGTTTGGGGGGAAGAATCAGAGCTGACACTGATCTCTTGGACTATTTCGATCGATTGGAATATCCGCTGACGTCAGTGTGAGTGGAATTTTGAATTGCAGAGAATCCTCGTAGATTCGATGGGTGGTCGCGCAACATACGATAATGACATGCCTTTGATATTCATCGGCGGGATGCCGCGAAGTGGTACCACATTGGTGCGAGTGCTGCTCGACGCTCATCCGGACGTCCGTTGTGGTGAAGAGACCAGGATCATCCCGAGGTTGCTCAGTATGAAGCAGCAATGGACGAAAAACCCAGTCGAAATGAACCGGCTTCTCGAAGCTGGAATCACGGACGAGGTCGTCGATCGAGCTGTTTCTTCTTTCATCCTAGAGGTGAACAGAGTTCTTAGGAATCCGGCGTGACCCTGGGCGGCGGTTTGACCCGAGATTGGATTTCTCGTCGAAGAATATTGCGATTCGATCGAGAGCAGGCCGGGGGTCCATCGACGACTATTCTCGAGTTCCTGCTAAGAGTGTCCTCTCGGTCCTCAGGTGATTATTGGTCACGGTAAACCTGCTCCTCGACTCTGCAACAAAGACCCGTTCACTCTCCGAGCTGCGACTTATTTACATAAAATATTCCCAAAAGCCAAGTATATTTTGATGATCCGGGACGGACGTGCTGTTGTGCATTCCATTATCACTCGGAAGGTGAGCTGCGACAGCGGAGAAAATTCAGCCAAGAGTCGACGTGCATCAGCCGAGAGTCCTCGACTTCATGAAGGCTAAGAAATCAACTCAGCGGCAAAATGAACGTGCCCCTTGATTTTCAGGTGACTATCTCGGGTTATGATCTGACGAGCTATCGCCAATGCCTCAAGAAATGGAACCAGGCGATGATGAGCATGTATAGTCAATGCCAACACCTAGGAACAGAATGGTAAGCGAATTTACTTCTCCTATCTGGAAAAAGCGCAGAGACGCATTCATGTTCGCTAGACCCTAAGAGAAAAGCAGTACTACTCATACAATCACAAGTGGTTCGGAGAACTTGATTCAGATGGCGTATTCGACGCCGTCGTTAGCGTTTCACGGCGACGGAGAACAAAGTCGAGGGAGCGTAGAGATCTATTCCATGGAATCCAGCATCAAGCTATCCCACGTCAGGCGTCTCATAGACACAACTTCCCAGGTGTCTACCAGTGCATTACGAACAATTAGTTCTGCATCCGAAACCATGGTTGGAAAAAATTCTCCAATTCCTCGACATTCCATGGAGTGATACTGTTCTCCACCACGACAAACTCGTCAACAAACCAGGCGGGATTTCTTTGTCAATGTGAGTAAGGTGGTGGAGAAATGGAGTGAAGGCTTAATCTCCATCAATCGTCAGCCTATTCCGTGCGACGAAATTTCTCCTATGGCCCCCGAGCTGCGATTGATACAGATCGTGTGGAAATCTAAACGAATCTGAGTCGAGCTAGAACCTAAAAATCACACACGACGCGTTCGTGCTCTTGTTGTTGACTCAGCGCCCCGGCCGTGGATCATCCTGTCTACTGACTTTCGTGGATCTGTCACAGACAGACGAGAAGTCACTGATTTAGCTGAGCCTGCTTCGTTGTAGGGAACTGATTGCAATTTTCTCGCTGGAGCACTACTAAGCTGAGAATTGTCCGATGCAGGTTGGAACGGTCGACTGACCAAGTGATCAAGCCGATCAACATAGAGGCCCTCTCAAAATGGGTGGGAGCCATACCCCAAGACGTCGTCAGAGACATGGCCGAAGTTGCTCCGATGCTCGAATTTTTAGGTGAGACGCGCGAACTTCGGTGGCCCCCGAGGTTCCATCGGGATTTCGGACATGAATAGAGTCTAACTCCCCGGAATTTCCTATTCAGGTTACGACCCGAAAGCGAACCCACCCGACTACGGGAAACCGGACTCCTTCGTCATGAACAACACCGCGCAGATAAAAGAAAATCTGAACGAGTGGCGAGCGAAGGAGGGGATGGTTGAGAAAGAACGTGAGGCCTTGCGCAAGAGGATCGCCGAGAATCGCGAGCCACGCGTGGATGACGCCGGAAAAGATTGATACAGTCGGAAGGAGCATCAATCGCACCTCATGAAGCTCTTCGGAGCCAGCTTCGGCCTCACGCGGGCTGGTCCCTGACGAAGCGTATTGAGATCCCTCTCTCCCTCGGATGATGTCTCGGCATCCGCTTTGTCTCCTGATTCACGGTTCTACCTCCTCAAATCAAGTGAGACAGTCATCGACCGTCGGAAGACATCAGCTCATTATCTGTCATGCTCTTCCGGAAACCCCGTTCATGTACATGGAGGCAGTTTCGTTTCGCACGGGGCATTAGCGTCGATTTCAACCTTCATGATTGGATACTCGTCTCGAATTTCAAATTGTGCGAAAGGTGGCAGGGAAACTGACGCGAGATATCTCCAGTTAATTTTGTGATGCCGATCTCAGGCCAGATCCTCGCACAAACCTACCGAGAGTTCCATCTACTGGTGGCTTGGCACGATATACACAGATAATAAACTCGAAGTCGATCGAATTGAGCGCATGGCGCTGAGAGAGGGACAGGGATCCAGAGAGTGGGTCGTCATACCATGGACCGACTTCGACAGCGAGCTATCAAACTGAATTCGGGAATTGCCGCGAATAGCTGACAGATTCGAATCTCGTGTGATTTGAAATGAATGATGAATGCTTGGCGAAAGGTCCTTATGTGTTTCCTCTGAGCAGATTGAAACGTTCACCCAGATACGCAGGATTGAGTCGAGGGGCTTACTGGATATCGTCATCTATTCGGGCCGTGTGGAAGAGTTCGACTACATGATGGAAGGAAAGGTGTCAGCCCGCAACCGAGTCGCGGTTTATTTATGTCATTCCAGCTTTTCGCGATACCTGACTCGGAAGGATCTTCCTCTTCGACTCGGACATGCTGGGAAACAGCTGGCGGTCCTTGAGTGAGTCTGCTGCCTTTGCTCGAGAGACCGGTAAGGAAACCGGTAATTCCGCTGCGGAGATCACTTCCCCGAAACTGCGCTCATATCATCTCGCATGGAGAGATTATTAGGTCGAAAGGCATAATGTGACTCGCGATCGCTGTTTCTTGAGAAAGCAGCTGCCATGGCGGGCAGAAAGTCGATTTTCAAGGGTCTCTTGATCGATTTAGACACCTCTTCAATCGAGCAACACTTGTCCCATCAGAACTGCTTTTGTTCCGCGATCATCGAGTCCACAATTGTTGTTTTGTATGTTCGCCTTTCGTCGGGCAAGATGTAGCCGGACCAGCTGCATACATCTTTATGGGAGCTGTGGGAATCTTCATGGAATCATCGACCATGTCAATCACTATTCGGAAAGTGAGTGCTGAAGTGATTTCGCGGCTGGATCGCTGCGTGTGCGTGGCGATAAATCAAGAGAGTTGTGTATTTCGCGACCGTGGAAGAATTCAGGGACCTTCGAATCGATATTCCCGATGGGAACTTCTCGTCGGCGTGACAAGCTACGCAGAGTACGAACTTCTTACCAGCAGGGTTTTGCGCGGCGGTGCGGTCGGTATACCGATTCGACAGGCCCGGAAAATTCGCTGAATTCGCGATGAGTTCGAATATTGAGCGGAAAGTCTCGAAAACCCCCGAGACCGTATGGGGAGGGGAAACTTGTTGAGTGCCTACCACAAAGTCTACGGAGCTGCTGTGAATAAGCCGAGTGTTGGATGTTACGCCAGGAACTTGTACCATGGAGAGCGATGATTGTGTGTCTCGATAATAAACAGTTGAAACGTTGGAATCATTCTGCCAGAAGGTGTTCTATTGATCGGAGTTCTGTTTTACGCGGTTAGAATGTCACACTCTCGCTCGAACAACGGTGTGGTCTAGTCATTCCACTGATAATGAGAAAATCATCATCACTTATCGCATCATCATCATCTGCTATAATTGACTAGCTGGGCACAAGTTCTTTCCGTCCCGGAATCTGACCATCAGAATTCAGGCCGAACGCTTTGCTTTCATCTGAGTGGATTCTTTGCCGCAAGTTTCACCGAGGACTTCAGCGACCCGTCGACGTCTGAATTGACGCCGCTAACACCGCGGCCGGCGTTGCCGTTTTCCGTCGTCGACGCACTCTCCTAGTTTTATGGCTGACTCGCTCAACATGGAAACTCAGAAACGCACTCTCACACTCACTGGAACAGTTTGCCGCTGTGGCCGTAGTTGAGAACAAGTGCAGCTCGCCGCGGAAATGTTGCCAGGTAGGTAAGTCAGCGATCAGCTCGATTCGGCTCGAGAGTCGTAATCTCCAACAGTCCGGTCACGATTTCGCTGTCACGCACGGAACCGAATTAGTAGTGAGAGGGGTCACGGCAGCTTTTCAAATCATGGATATTGAAACGACGGAGATCACAAACCCGAACGAGCACAAAGCTCTTCTTTCGGCTGCGAATGGGTATCGATTCCCCCATCCGCGATATCGATTCGTGTCGCACTCATACACAACGGACCTCGGACCATAGGAACATCCGTTGATAGCACGCAGAAAATCTTCCACGGCAGACGGAAGATTTCTTGATACTTTCTCCGGGTATACGCGGAAAACGAAAGAAAGCCGCAAATCATTAGTTACGCTCCCTTGACAGAAACTAAGCCGTTCCACAACGACTGCTGTCAATGCCGCGTAGGTGTCTTTACACTCTCCCGTCATTGGAAAAGCGAATCCTACAACGCTTCTACGCGTTGTCACGATCAATCCGCGGAAGCTGTCCGGCCACCGCAGTAGGTCTACATATGCTCCGGGCTACATTCGAGCGAAAAGTATGTCGCACTCGCAGATACTCCCGTTTTGCTCCAAGGCTCAGACTCCCAATTTCTCGGAAATATCCGGTCGACGATGGAGATACAATCACGGAATGGGTGGAGAGATCTCTCTGGTGAGAAACTATTCTAATTGAGTCGTCAATTGAGCGTTTCGCGCCCAATAAGGCAGACCGGCGACTTATTTGATGTAGGAGAGCCTCCCCTCTCTGACAATGTCCGACAGTCGATTTCAGCCGAGATAAAGGTTCCTCTCAAATTATTCCTCTTCGCTGCGAATATGCCTGTTGGAGGTTGGACAGTACTCATTGTCAGATGTACATCACTACAGTATATCATTATTCATTTACCTCCTCTCTTGAAGACTAAGTGCTTATTGACGCAAACTCTCGATATGCGTCTGCCAAGACGCCCCACATAGGGGTGGGGATGGAGGCATTGAAATTTCTAAAATCCATATTTTGCAATACTCGAATATTCGACCCGGAACAAGAAGTACGTGCATCCATCTCAAGGACCATTGACCATTTTCAGCATCTGTTGCAGGCTTCCGTTACGTTGGCTATAGCCTGCTGGCTGGTGGAACCTCGTCAGCGACCTCTTCAGCGACTCGTCTTCGTGAGTACAGACCTCGTTACGAAGATTAGGCTTCAAATTCGCCCCAGCCATCTCCGGCAACGGAAGGGCGTCTCTTTGCCCTATCAAGTCCGCCCGCCATGCTGATGATTGAATAGCTCGAGCCGTGTAGGTCATTCTGCCACGGGAACGACGGTCCGCGCCTGATATCACCAATTGACTCGAGAAAAGTTATCTTTATCCGTGAGGATGCGACTGCAGTTCCGCGCGAAAGTACTCGCTGTAATGCCGAGTCCCCGACACCGAAAACTAATGATGGCGCTTACACGGCGAAAAACCGAGAAGTCAGAAAATGAGAACATCATCCCCGAATCCGAGCTTTGGGTGCAAAGAGCTCCGGCCCTGTTCGGCGGAGGAGGCGAGGAAACGAAAACTCCGAGCCTGACTTCGATGGAGCCGTGGAGTCGTTGTTATGCTCGCCTCCGAAGCGTCGATACGGAGACCGAGCTGGACCTAAATGAGCGCGGAATTCGGTCAGAATTAATTGCTAGGCAATGTTCTGCGCGATCCGAAATCGAATATCTCTCGATCACCTCCTCCAAGTCTCTTGGACCATAGGCGTAGGGTTGGCGATTACCACCGGTGTCGGTCGACTCTTCCTCTTCTCGGGGTCGGAATCTACCCGTTTGTCCAGATGATGAGGGTAGTAGTGGCGATGATAGTGGTGGTAGCAGTGCCCGAAAAGCAATCAGAGGGTTTTGATTTGTCGAGCTCGGCTTCGTTCGCTAGTTTGTGCTCCTAGCCTGCCATGGGCGCCTTACTAAGTCGTCAACATGGCTTGGCGGATGGCGAGGAAGCGAACAACAGTTTTGTGTATAGGTATCCACCGAAAAACGGTGAGTCTCTAGCGACACTTCCGTGAAACGCCTTATGTCGCCTGACCGTTCCTCGGGTGATTCCCCGAACCTTCCGAGATTCCCCCCGGGCGCTGATGGATGCAGCCGTCTCTGGTAGTGGGAGTCGGGGTCAAGCATTCCCGGCGGTGGGATGGCAGCTCGCTCCGGAGTCAAGCAGGGAGCAGGGCTTCGAAACTACCGCACTAACTGAAACCGAATGAATCCTTGGGAACATGGTTGTTGCGAAACTTGAACTGGAACTTCGCTGCGAGCTGCCGTAACTCTTTTCTGGGTGCTGAGAGCTCGTGGAACTTGCATTCGACGAGAAAGAATTTTGATACTCTTCATGTATCAAAATAGCTCAACTTTGCTCGTGGTCTCATGGATTCCGTAGAGCTTCCATTTGGTCGACTGTTTTCCGTCTTTCTGGGTAGGGCTCTTCCTGTTTCTGAGACGAGCGATCGTTGCTGAGAGTCGATGGATGAAAAACCGTATTATTGCTGTTAGTAACCCATGGATATGACAGACATAACCGCAATGAATGGGGGGGAAACCGATACGCTCGTCTCGCGGATTGCATGACCTGGCAAACGGATATCGTCGTCAATCGCCAGACAGATTCCCGCGTTCTCGGTGGACGTTGAATCCATTGTACTCTTTGAAGTGCAGGAGAATCAACTACAACGGTCACAATCAGGATCGAACTTCCGTTACTCTTCTGAAGGCTTGACCGCTGTAGCGGATCTATAGTTTACTGACCCAGGACTTCCCTCTTCGCAAGACTCGATTTCCCGGCTATAATGAGAGGAGTTCTGCTCCCTAGGACTACTAGGAACAACGAATATGCCGGGAAATATCATCGATCGACGAGATCGATCCTCTCTATGAGTGACCTCCAAGGGAAACCTTTCCGGGAACGACCACCCACCGCCAAAGTCCCATCCCGCTTCCCCTCGCAGCGCTGCGCCGGCCGCGGCTTCAGATCCCCCCTTCCCCCGATTTCTCTGAGACTGTTCCTTTTGGCTCGACCAATTAGGACGAAGACCAATCAATCGGCCAATCAATTTTCCAGGAAATTACTTCGCGTCTCATTTTATCATGGGAGGTGAGCGATTCGATGCCTCGCAGCCTGAAGCATATCTCTTCGGGGAGAATTCCGATCTGAACTTTCTCGGCAGTCGTCCGATGCCGTTTCCGTACCCAGCGCCGCAACCGAACGAGCCAACGAGACCTCTGCGGTGTCTAATCAACATCAGGAAAGAATCTCTCCGTTTCATCAGGTTCGTTGGCCGCCCAATACGGAGCCTACCTGGCATTTCAAAACCCAGGATCTGCAGGATTGCAGACTCGTACACTAGAATTTTCCTGCTCGATTTGAGGAAATCAACGAAATTTCCAGGGTCAAGGACAAGGAAAACTCTTGTCCGAACGGACTTTCCGAAGAGGAGTCGAACAAGAGCCCTCAGACTCCCTCCACGAGGTACAATCTGGAATTCGTTTTCGACTCGGAGTGCCGATGCGCCATCACTGTCCATTATTTTTGTACGGAGGAAGTAACGCCCAATGGCATAACGTGAGTGGATCTACGGTTATCTAGGAAGGAATGCTCCTCAGCGAGATGAAGAAGCGAGCGATAGCAACCGAGGCTCGTATTCCGCATGCACAAGTTCTTTAAATTGAGTTTTGATTGAAATCAGGTACTCGCCTCGTTTCCCGACCATGTCCTCAGAAACGTATCATTACAAACGAGGATGTAATCAGCAATTCCAACAAAGTTCACATGTTTTCGATCCGTCGAAGTATTCCGACTCCGAACTCACCTACAATAATTACACCTTACTAGCGGAGTATCAAGGTGAGTGATCAAGCCATGATCAGCCTATCATAGCTCAGCGATGATCCGCCAATAATCTCACTCAATCAGACGGATATCTTTATGAGCATCCGGTATGAAATCTCAGGTATAACCGCTGAGCGTACGACTGCGATGCCCGATGGCGGTGAAGTGTTCCCGGTTGTAATCCAATGCGTTGCCGAAGAAGGTGAAGAACCTAGACAAAGTCACGTTTTGCTTGCCGGTGAGTCTTCTTCCTGAATCCACTAATCGCCCACTATCCATTCCGTCCGATTCTTCCCTGTCTACAAACGGAGCGGTGAATACCTCCGGCAACCAGGGGGACCGTAATCCTAATGAGCTGCCTCTATTCATTTGCAGTCGTCGAACGCGCTAGCGCAGCCCTCGGATCTACGGTCGATTCAGTTACGTACACCTTAAAACCTCTCAAACAGAAGCTCTTTGTGGACGGCCTCGTGTATCTGCTGCAGGAGATTTACGGCATCGAAAACAAGAACATCACACCTCACGTAAGTCCTGCGACGCCCGAAATAGCTCGACGTGAAGGCGTTATGGGATTGATTCAGACTTACGGATAGGTCCCCCTCGGTCCCCCTTCTTACGACCGGATCGCTCTTTGCAGCCGGACGATGAAGCGGCCAACGGTGCGGTCGAGGACAGCGATTGTGAAGAGGGCGGTTGTGAGTGCGTGATTTGCATGAGTGAAGCGCGGGACACACTGATCCTGCCGTGCAAGCATCTGTGTCTATGTTCGGCTTGTGCCGACTCTCTTCGATATCAAGCAAACAACTGCCCCATTTGTCGCGCCCCCTTCAGAGCCCTTCTGCAGATCAGGGCAGTCCGCAAGATGCTCCTGAGTTCTCATCCTTCGGCACAAATTAGCGAACTTCAACAAGTTGGGCAGGACGTCCCTGCGGGCTACGAGAGTATCCCTCTGATTGAGGCTCTCAACGGCCCGACGAGTCAGAACCCAACCTTGACGGTTCCTCACGATCGGGAGACCACCGGCAAAAAATCGAAAATGCATCGCAACAAATCAAGCTCCGCCGGATCGCTCCGGCATCAGAACGACAATCTCCAAGTTCCAACGGAGGGAACTGTGACCGTGGCGGGTGGACCGAAGGAGTCTCCGAGGAATCGGAATCTCCAGCACCACCATCGGAGTTCCTCGGGAACCGTGACCGACGCTGGAGCTCTGACGAGAGCGGAAACAGCGCCTCCCGGGAGACATCGCAAGCATAAGCCGCACGGAAAAACGAAGAACTCAGCTCTGAGACCTCATACTGCTCAGCCCAGCACGACTTCTCTGGCTGTGAGTACCGAAAACAATTCCTTCCCTCGTGAAATAGTCTTCTTTTGCATGTTTCGTCGCGACCCTCCCAATAGAAGCTTATCGATTTCAAAATAGTCTATGCTCTTTAAATCCCCGCACAGTTCATCCGTGAGTATCGAGGACGCGTCTAGTCGTCATTTCTAACTTTAATCCGCTGTTATTTCACATTCGGAAATCGGGACTTCTCAGATCTCACTGAATTCTTCGCAGGATACGTCCTTGTCTCCGGAGAGCAAATCTCTTCTTGAGGGCCAGAATCATGACGAGCCTGGGAAGAGCTTGAAAGAGGAGGTTTCGTCGGATAATGACCTCGATACCGACATTCCAACAGTAATCACAGTGGATCAGGCGACGGACACTAGCTTGGATAATCGGTGAGTCGACTCGTTCAGGGCCGCGTTGCTCCTCCTAGGATTCTCCGAGACAGTCTCAGGATGTCGCTCGATATAATTTACCAACGTTCCGTCTCTGCTGTAGGGATCATCTGCACGGATCGCGGGAAGAGAATTCAGAGATGAATATGCTTTTCCACCGACGCAAGGCTTTCCCGGACCAGAGTGAGTGATTTGAGTCTTACTCCAATCGGCGTCTCGAGCTGATCCTAGTGATGATGATAAAATATCAACATGGCTCTCATTCCGCAACTTGCAGCCTGTCGCGACAGTGGCGATGCGCCAAATGACCGAATTAGAGAGCTGGAGCTCCTCGAAAAAACCTGTTCCCTGAATCTCAAGACCTCCGTCCCCCAAGTGCCCAGTCCTTCAAATTCTGTTCCTGGTGAGTAGGTTCCCGAGGAACATAAATATAATGTACTGACAGAAAGCACAAATCAAATTCGTCGAAAGGGGACAGAGACCCTCTGCTTAAACACTCGTATTATGCTCGTAACTACTCGTATTAATTCAGAGCAGGCTCTTCGGAGACAGGTCTGATGACGCATGTTTTTTTCCAAAGGTACTCCAGACGGCTCAGCGCGTTCGAGCGCAGAGAGCTTCTCGAGTTCCAGCTCTGGGACTAGACTCCTGGTGAACTCACAGCCCGCGACGCCAGGTAAGAAGAAACCGCGAGCTATCGAAATTCGGAAATTTTTTCCTCGAGGAAGTCACCGGGTTAGGATGTCTATGCCTATTAATCCGGCATTGAACCGAAAAATTGTTCCAGGCTGTCTGTGCAGTAATCCCGTGACTGTGGTCACGATACAGAGCTCGAAGAATTGCATTTGCCTACCACCGAAAGCATGTCTCTGCTCTAGCCCGACGAAAAGTGCAACGACGTCACCGAGCTCAAGGACGTGCATTTGTGTCCCGAACACTTCGTCACTGCCGGTACCAGGAGACACTGAGGAGGTGTAGACCAGACTCCCAGAAGCAGGAAGACCACCCGAAATATCATTCCGGGATTCGAGACCCAACCCGGAAAACACGGAGAAGGTCGCGTTTCTCGGAAGAGTCCGCCAAAGCACCGCGACTCTCGGTACCAAAAACGTTCACGAAGGGATTGTGAGGGAAATAGCTCGATTCGGAATGATCTAGATTCCTCGTAACGCGGAAGAGCGTTCCGGAAACGGCGCTCACAGGAATCTCACTGAAAAAGACAGAAGGCGAAAGAGGTGGAGGGGGCTCATGGAATTCCTCCGAAGTCCCACTCTACCCGTGATGAATTCTCCAGGACTTAGATAATGGTGTATATACAATATTGTAGTATCGTGGAGGGCGGTACCTGCAGAACAGACCCATGAAGATGCTGGCTGTATTATCGCAGTTCCTCTCGCAGAGTGAGTTTTTGCAAAATTGGCGAACCGCGAAGAAGTCTTGACGAGTATGCTGTGTTATGAGTTTTGAGGTAATGGCAGGACGAGGATAACGTCGAGAGCCCCCACGAGGTTTTCTATGAAGTTTCAATTAATCGGTAGAACTCTCGATTCGAGTAGTGATGCTGTAATCTCGGAACTTTTAGCTGTGATTGGGAGCATATTCTTGTATCTTGATACGGGAGATCAGCAACATATGAGATGTTGTTGTAGATTCAGCAACCTTGGAGACGAAGACGGTTCTCTCCAACTCGACAGTACGAAACTTCCAGACGCGTGGACTGAGAGCGGGCAGAAGAGAATTCGATGAGAGGAAATGACCGTCGCGTCGGTGATTCCTCTTGAAGAATCTCAGGAATGCTCCCTGTCCGCTGACCCACAAATAAATTTATGGATCGAATACCGAATTGTTTTTCTTCGATTTCTAGTCGCCGACGGAACTCGCTACTGGGTTCGTTTCCGATGATAATCATCGATTCCTCCTCGGAAAGCTCAGCTTCGCGCATTATCTCCTAAGTCGAGCGTCTCTTAAAATCGGGAATCTCGGACCGACTTCTCATCCCGGTCGGCGGGTCACAGGATCAGTACTCCCCTTGTCAAAAAATCCGACGTGGGAGCGAAGACAAATTAATTAGTACTCGAACGAGGTCATGTCCATACCAGCGTGATTTTATTCTGTCCTCGATCAACCGGGTTCGATTGGCTTCCCTGCCTCAATTAAAGAAGACGCTGCGCCGTCGGACGGATGGACAAACGATCCGATTCGCGATCTGACACCGTCGATGCAGACCTAACGTTACTATGTGTGCATATTGCTACGGATAGAATCTTCTATCAGATACGGGGATCCTCAGACATGATCTCTACCATCGCAGTCAATCGGTCGCATTTTCTCTCACTACAATCGATCTCTTCAGGTTTGTACAGTAGCCGGCCAATTGAAAATCGGAATATTGAAACCACGCTGCAACAAGACGAGCTTCTCAATGAGAGAAGTTCTGCTCGCTCCACCCCACCTCTGAAGTCATTCAATCTCAGAATTTTCCTCTCGAATTCTCTCGCTTCGTCTAAACTATGCCGATGGCATACACTTGAGTCTGTCGAATGCTTGTTTCTCGAGACTTTCTCTGTGATTGGGATGAGCAATGTTGATGAGGGCGTGAGCACGCTGGCGGATCGACTTCCCGAAAAGGGACGCGATTCCGTGCTCCGTTACGATGTAGTGCGCATGAGCTCTGGTCGTGACGACCCCAGATCCCAGTTTGTTGAAGACAGAGATCTTCGACTCTCCCTTCGTAGTTTGCGAGGGCATGGCGAGAATCGGTTTTCCGCGTCCGTCCTGACAGATGGCAGCACCCCGAAGGAAATCGACTTGTCCTCCGAAGCCGGAATAGATTCGGGGTCCGATCGAGTCGGAGACGACCTGTCCAGTTATGTCGACTTCGATGCAGGAATTAATTGCGGTCACTTTAGGATTCTGGCAGATGATCTGTTTGGGTGAAAAGGAATTAATATGAATATCAATCGATTTGGACCCATGTGGCGAGGTGACCTCGTCCCTGTTGGGTGCAGCCATCAGCACGAATAGCGAAACGAAATGATTCTACCAGAAACTCCGAGACGTACTTGAGGATTGTTCGTGTAGCCGACATCCAACATGAGGAGCGACGGGTTATTGTGCATCCAGTTGAAGAGTTTCTTGGTCCCGATGGTGAATGACGATACCAACTTGCCCTGATGAATGACTTTGTGGTTGTTGGTGATTGCGCCCGTTTCCATGAGATCGACGACGCCATCGGAGAACATTTCCGAATGGACTCCGAGGTCTTTATGGTTTCCGAGTTGTGCCAATACAGCATCGGGAATCGATCCGATACCCATCTGCGGAGAGAAGGTGGACCTTATCATTCAGCGGGAATACATTACCCCCAACTCGACTTCCAGACCCGCCCTTGAGGGTCTGGACCGACAGATCGAGAGCCGGAGTATCGCGGAATCTCTCGGGGAAACGCAACTCGGAACCTACCTGCAGGGTCGCCCCATCCTCAACAAGATTCTGTGCGATATGTTTTCCAATAGCCACTTCAACGTCGGTCAACGCGGCAGCTTTGTGCTCCGGCATCGGAACGTGACCCTCGACGAGGGAGTCGAAGTGAGAAACATGAACCGAGGCATCTCCGAAAGTTCGCGGCATGTTCTTGTTGACCTGCGGAAGAAATTGTTCCTCGATTCTCTTCCTCGTGTTTCCTTTGGACATCGTCGTTCCGACTAGCTCGCGTTCTCCTTACCTGTCCAACAATGTGCTTGGCATGAATGAGCGCAGCTCTGGCGGTGTCGACGGAGGTTCCCAGAGAGCAATAACCGTGGTCGTCTGGAGGACTGACAGAAACCAGCGCAACATCCACCGGCATGATCTTCCGGTGGAAGACGAGAGGTATCTCATTCAGAAATATAGGCACGAAATCTCCGCGACCCTCAGCGATAGCTTTTCGGCAATTAGCCCCGGTGAAGAACGAGTAGGACCTGAGAATCAATCACAAAATGAAGTTTTCTCAGAGGCGTCCCATCAGGACTGGCAGTGGGGATTTGCGTTTCGCTGCCATCCCGATCTTATTCCGATAGTCAAAGGCGCCGAATGTTCAGTATGCATGGTACGGAACATGACGCTCGAACTCGCCTCGAAAGCAGATCGCTCTCCTACTCACCGGAAGACCCCGTCGAAGCTCGGATCGTTATACTCGGCGGCACCTTCTGTATGGATGTGACAGACGGTGACTCCCTTCAGACCGGCCTTCTTTCCATGTTCTGCGAGGGCTGGTACGAGGACCCTCGGGGTAGCAGCGGCGCCGTGAACGAAAACTGTGTCACCTGGAAATACGATTCGCTCAGAGTGCAGATCCTGACCCACCACAAGATGTCTTGGTCTGTACAACTGAACATTTCTTAGGTCATGAAGCGATCGCCCAGGGATCGATCCATGCTTTATGATTCGAATAAGTCCCAGGCTTCTGCAGAGAAGATATGTCCGCGACCTTGAGATATTCGGTGACGTCAGTTAAGCTCAGAGAAACCTCGACCCTCGAAGTAAATCAAAGTCACTCAAAGACCCTCTCCTCTATAAATAGATGACACGATTGAACTCGAGATTTCCAAAGCATCTGACAACGCGGCTCTCTGACACCTCTCTCATCGAGAATCATCAAACGTCATCTCAAGGACGACTGTCGAGCTATCTCAGCCTTTCTGACTCATTTTGCAATCAGAGCAGGTCTGCTGTGGCATGTGGAGTCGGCAACTCCCGGACGGTTCCTGTCCCTCGGAATCATTCTTATTCCGAAGCCTGCTCAAGTTGACTCAAGTTCGTCAATTCTGCGTCGTATTCGAGAACTTCGGGATGGGGCACACGAGAGAGCGGAATGTAAGGGTGAGCGCAATACAGGGGGAAGAACGCGGGCTGTTGATCACGGTCTGGGTGGCCTCTCTCTGGACCGGGAAACTCAAACATCCGAGCCAAACGGTGGAAAACTACTTTTCGAATGTCTGCGAGGGAATGGCATCGAAGTATGAAGCCAGTCTTGAAGTGAGCGATCTACTCGAGGCCTGAGATAGAATCCGACGTCCAACTTCCTAAGGAGATGATTTTCACGGGCGACGCGCCAAGAGACGGTGCTTGCTCGTGCGCGATGTGGGACGCTGCGAGCACCGATAGAGCAACTAGATCAGATAGCGAGCAATAAGGAGCATAGTCACAAGTGCTTCAGCCTAATGGCAGCAGGCCGCCTCCGTAGACGTATAAAACGAGCAAACAACGCATTTTCAAGCCTCGGAGATCAATTTCGTAGGTCCACCATCCTTCCTCATGCTTAAGAGAACTTGCTAGAATCCACGTCGGAAACGGATCGTGCTCTCAGTTTTGGTACTCCCGAACGTCGTAGGGCTCTTAGAAGCCTCGTAAGCGACGTCTACGGCCGATGGAATGTCCGCGGGAGACGAACGTGGATCCGGACCGCCGTGAGACACCATCGGCCATGAGACTCGGGATCTTTTCCCGATGGTTTGTCCGAGACGCAGTACTTCTGTTCTCGCTCACTATGGAAAGCTTTCGATGCTGCGATGCCGATGGACAGATCCATTCGAGATACCCTTCCCATCGTCGACGTTCCGGAACGGAAGAACACAACTACTGTGTTCTCGGATTTTCCCTGAGTATTCTGGAAAGCGCATGGTGCCGTTCAGGATCATCGCTCAAGAACCGAAGTTCCTTGTCCAGCTCTTCGAGACCAGGGAGACAAGAAGGGAGCAAAAGGTCACCGATTCCATTGTGTTGGTCCACGCTCGATAGGCGGAGGACCAATGATAATAATCGAACGCCGAAACGCCAGGATCAACACCGTGAACGCAACAATCCCGCAAGAACCTTGCTCGCACATTGAGTAGGTGCGTAATTCCACGAGGGGACGACTCGGTCAGTCAGAGTCTCCGGCGGTGATCTTTGACAGGGTTTCTCCGCGATATTTACCCACAGATAGACCACCGTTTCGCCTCCCGTCAAATCATAACTGCGCTCGGGGTCACCTTGGCGCTCGAAACGTAATCAAAGATCGCTACGATGTAGGTTCCATGGACGATGGTCCTCGATTAGGGATTCTCATCGTAAAATCTTCGGGGAGATGCGGTGCATTAAACCAATGCGATGGTGCTCTCGGGTGCTCACCGGACTTGACGACACTGAGGGCCTCCTCTGCGCTCACAGTTTTGGGCTGACGATCGAGGGCCATGAACGGTTCTCTCGAATAACTGTAGAAGGATCGTATAGCCGAGCGACTGCCCGAAAGACCGCGCTGAACAGCTCCCAGCATTTTGCCTCGGTCGGAGAATCCACCTCACGAAAAACCTCTGATGGCAAACACCAACTTTCGACCACCACCAGCAGCACCACTAGTGCTGCGCTTGTTCGAGCAGACGATGTTTCAGAAGGAGCCGCCAAGCACTCGAAAACGGAGAGGGACGGCAACACCACAACACGCGCTAGTCTTTGTCTCCCAGTTCCAGCTGGTTATCCGACAGCTGAGATTGCGCGGAACTCGCTCAGGTTGAACATCTGCTCGCGCGTGGCTCTTGCAGCCGTCAACGTGGCTCGAACTGCCTCTCTCATGCATCCGATGGAATGTGGAGTTCTTCACGGGATTCCTCCCCCTCGGCAGTCTGTTCGGAGAACGAGAGCATGGACTCGTAGGGCAAGCGCTCATATGTACGTAATATGAAACCGTGCATTTATGTGAACTGACCGACGACTGGATATCGACGCTAGGGATGTGCGAAGGAGTGGCGATGATAGGAGAGGCATTCCTGAGATTTCTCGCATGGTTTCTCGAGAATCCCTTGACGACTCCTCCTCGCTTGTAGAATGATAGGTTTCACGAAGGATTGAGGAACATGACAAGTCGCAACCGCACTCATCAAGCGCCTGCAGTCGGCATGGCCTCCGCGCGAAAGCGGACCCAGAACGCTTTCGGCCGGGGAGCAATGGACGCCTCGGGGAAAAGGGGAGGCATTTGGGAAAACCCTTCCGTGCCGTGAGTGACTCCGCAGCATAGAAATTCGCCTCCAAGTCTCTCGGAGCTCTACTGCAGCATCGGTGCTTCCGCCGTCCTCCCATGCGAGAAGATCTCTCATAGGACGCCTCGGAGCAAAAGGGGAGATATCTGGGGAATCCCAATCCCGTACTGCGAGACCTAGAAATTCCGGACCCGTGTCAAACCCACCCACAGCGGAAAAAGGCGCTCAGAGAATGTTCTCGTTCTCACCTAATAGAAGTACGAGGGTTGCCGTGAGTGAGGCCGCAGCATAGGGATTTGCCTTCAAGTCTCTCGGAGCTCAACTGCAGTAATGGCGATTCTGCCGTCCTCCAATGCGGGGAAATCTTTCGTAGATTCGCCACTGGTTTCCGATGCGCCCGATAGATTCATCTAGAATACAGGTAAACCTACAGGATTCTTCCGGATAGCGCAGCCCGCACGGAATGGCGCTCTCTTATCAATGTCAATACGCATATGCATATGTCACACCAACGAGATGCCTTCATACATCGATGATTACGCTGCAACTTCATTTTACGGGGGGCTCTCTGTCCGGGAAATCCATCATGCGAGGCCTCCGCGATATGGAGACTGTATTCTCAGCAATCGGGGGGAGAAATTCCGACCATCCTCTCTGTGTTGGGGTTTGAATAAATATGCCGCCGTATTTTCATCATTTATACCTAGGTGCGCGACTTCTCGCGTCCACGAAAGGTGACGTCTAATCATCATCAGCTGCGTATGTGAAATGTCTGAGTCGCTTGTGGGAGTTAGCTATTGCGTCAGGTCACTCGAGAATGAACCCATTTAAGAATCAGAAATTCTCCTCTCCGCACTACGTAACTCCATCCGCTGTTTAATCGAGAGTGCTCCGTGTCTATGGAACATGCGAACAGCCGGGAATCATTGAGACCGCAGTCGAATGCGACGGCGTCGATCGATTCTGATTTTCCCTCTAAGCACACCCCTGATCCTTGCGATCCACTCTGACTCGACAAATCCAAATTCACGACGTTCGGAGCGATGAGCATACGAATACCTAGAGATGGTCCCCGACGATATCCCAGTCAATGGCGGCTCTCTGAGAATAGGTAGGATTTGGGCGCCTCTGTGCGATGATTCGGCTGCGCTGGAACAAATCATCTATAGACTGCTCGTGAATTTCGGGGCATCCCGTAAGCCTGATGGAATGAAGCAGTCGGACTTCCTAAATTCATGTTGGATGCCTGTCTTCTTGCTTGCTCGAGTTGGTGCAAGTGATCCCGTCGATTTAGGTCCTGTTTTCTTGCCTGTTCCTGTTGGAGCCAGAGATCCCGCTGATTCGGTTCCTGTTTCCTCGTTTGCTCGTGGTGGAGCACTTGGTTCCGTCGATTCCAGTCCTGTATCGGATCATTCATGCGAGCTATCTTCGGTTCTTTGTGAGATGTCTGCTGCGGGGGTTGAGCCGCAATCCGTTGAGGATAAGCCGTCCCTCGAGCGCCATACCCCGAAGATTCGTGCAAAGTCGATGTATAGGCTCGTGGATCAGCTGCGGATGCGTGTGGATTGACCGCAGGATATCGTCGCACAGCCGCGGGGGCTTGTGGGACAGCCGCGGGAACTCGTTTCATACCCCCGGTGGCCTGTTGGAGAACCGCGGGAGCTTGTGGGACAACCACGGGAACTCGTCGCACAGCCGCCGGAGCTTGTGGAACAACCGCGGAAACTCGTTGCATACCACCGGGAGCTTGTGGAACAGCCACGGGATTTCGTCGCACAGCCGCGGGAGCTCGTGGAACAGCTGCAGGAGCTCGTGAAACGGCCGCAGGAGCTCGTGGAACGGCCGCAGGAGCTCGTGGAACGGCCGCGGGAGCTCGTGGGACAGCTGCGGGAGCTCCTTGCTCGACCCAGCCGATGTTCTGATCAAATTGCTGATTCGGGCGATTGTTAGACTTCCTCGGATCGATCGGTCGGTGATCAACAGGATCAGGTTCCCGCAGGTGGGCATCCAATCCCGCCTCTTGTAAAGCCCGAGTCTGCTCCCGCATCGGTGCGGCTCCGAGTTGCCATCCATCTTCCCCAACATATTGAGTGCCGTCTCGGCATTCGGCGCCTCTCGTATTGTTGATCCCAATGATGTCTGACGGCGCCCCGTCAGAATCTTCATCACTATGTTCTGTGAGAAATTCTTCGATGGCGTCCTCTGTCTTAATCGCTCTGAGCGCGTCCAGCCTAGAGGCGAACTTCGGACTTGGTATTCTGTTCTCAGCCATCGACTGGTTCAATTTTGACCTGAGAGAGAGAGAATTAATTTGAAACTTCATTTGATGATATGGAGATTCGGGGGAATCCAAAGTTCTAGAGAGACCAATGCGGCCCATCCCAGACTGCGAAAATTCCAAGTCAGTATGCCACGGGAAGCATCGAGAGGAACCTCACAGGAATTTTTCGCCTCTCCGCTGAAGGAGATCCAGTCTCTTCGTTTCAGAGTCGACTCGACGCGCCTGTTCAGAAGCAGCTTGCACTCTTTCTTCCAATCTGTCCGCGAAGAGCTGTTTCAGTCGCACCTGCGTCTCATTCGCCTGCGATCAAATGGAAACATCAGCCGTCGATGCGACAGATCTATCGATGAAATATACATGCGATCAAACAACGACAGATATATCAAGCGGATGCGGAAACCAAGCTCCGCACTCGGAAGTCTGTGTGGGACGACTTAGCCTCGAGAATACGTATCAACGTACGAGGAGGAGCTGGATCGCCGGGGGATGATGATATATATGGGAAGTACAATCATTGGCCTAGACAACTCACCTTTAGGATAAGCGCAACGATATCCCTCGGCATCCGCATTATAGCGCGCAGTGCCTCCGGAGGATCACTGGCGTTGATTTCGAGAGATGCACGAGATCTCTTGCGACACACTTGGCAAGCGAAGACAGCATTGTGATCTGGAATTTCCGTCACGACTCAAACCTTTAGTGGGATCGAGTGGCTGACAAGGAGCGAATAGATTCTTCTCGGCGTTCCCGATTGGAATATAGAGGCTTGTCAACCCTGACTCGCCAGGGGACTGGCATCTCCGAAACTGGATGGAATGGGTGAATCAACTTCGGCAAGACTTGGCTCCCGTGATCCCTTACCGACTTGAGTGCAACGCGTACAGAGGAGGTGATCGCATTCCGTGAGCAGAAGAACGTGGCCGTCGGCGTCACCCAGGCCGCAAATCATACAGAACAGACCCTTGGGACAGATAGCTCGAAGTTCGTCTTCCTCCTTCTGTTCCTCCATGTTCCGGTATTTCCACGGGCTCGCAGTAATTTGTGTGATTAGAGCTGGAAAAGAGGTGAGAGCATGGCGGGTTTTTAAGCTGATATTGGCGGTCGAGTCGCTCGAGGTGAAGAATACACCACGAAGCACGACTGATCGCAGTGCAGTCCCCGATAAAGGAGAGCATTCGCGAAATCGCAGTGGGTGGGGCACTCGTTTCCGAAGGGATCGTATTATCGCTCGCTCGGGCGATCAGATAGGATTGACGGCACAGGAGCCAGGGTAGGAGGCATGCAATCCAGTCGTCAGATACGCAGATTTATATTTGTAGACGGAAACACGAATCGACGGGGAGAACCTCCGATTGAGAAATAATCGAACCGCTCGATTTTTTCCGTCGGCTCAGTATGCCGTCTGTCGAAGAGCAGCTGTGAAATCTGATTCGATTCCGATCGATCCCGACTCGAACACCGCATAACTCACCATACAAGGAACTTTCGCTCAGCACCGAACTGAGAAAATGAGAATATGACCCATTCCACCGTATTTCTGATCTTTCAGCTTTAGCGCATTCGCTTATATCAACAGGAGCCCTAAGTTGACAGAACACGAGTTCCCCGCGGGAGGAGGAAAGAATAATTATTGACTCCTCCTCGCAGGGGAACGGAGCGAAGGATGAGCAGTACTCACATTATTCCGGAGCTCCATGAAACCGCTCCCAAGGTTTGCGACCACAATGTTGTGGATCCTCGGATCATACTTCTATTCGGGGATAAAGAGAATATGATCCGAATGTGACTAATATTGTACATATCGGAGCTCGTGACTTGAAGATGGTCTCTCGCTTGAGAAGGGAAATTCGGAGTGGAGAAATCGCGTCTCTCGACCACTTATGGAGCGAATTACATACCCCATTAGAGGCTACCGGTGGCTGCACCCGATCTGCGATAAGGAAAAAATATAGCATATCACGAGATATGAGATTAGCGATCCAGTAATGAGATGCAGATTATCGACCGAGAGTCTCGTCAGATTCCGCTGTCCGTCAGTCCAGAGACAGAGAATTCAACCTTTAGAGAGACGCTTCTTACGAGATCCCGAGTAATCGATGTTACCCCAATTCACGGTGAGGTCGGACGCAAACAACGAGTCCTGTTTTATTTATGACTGATCGATGCTGCACCACTGAAGTGTTCTCGGAGTCTCGAACTCATACGCATCGAAACAGCGCGGAACGTGCTTCCGAAGCTCAACGGAGTATCTCGGCTCATACCTAAAGTTGTGGATTTCTTGCAGTGAGTGAGAGCGATTTCGTCTCCTGAGTGTGACTCGAGTGTTGGAGTCGATTGCTCGCTCGTCTGAAGCCGGACGGCTCGCATTCCCACGGGCCGGTGGGGACGTTCCGCTTTGCTCGTGATGGTTCGCGCCTCGTCCTTCCTGCCTCCCAACTTTCGGAAGGAGCACGTTGTTCGAAGCGGGCACCCCCATTGAGCAGGAAGGACCTGGTGGTGCCGAACGGATGCGGAACTATTACGCAGCGAGAGCGGCTAATTTTATCGTAGGCTCTTCGATTGCAGACCAAGCATAACGCCTACGGCGACGCTAACATTCTCACGGCTAACCTCGCGTGCGAGCTTCTATGCCCCCTTCCATATCTGGGTTGGTATTCATTGAAAATCAATAACATCTCGGAGAATGGCGAAGTCTCCGCCACGCTGACACACTTTCGATAACTGGGCAAGGGATATTGACAAGCTTCATATGCACTTTGACTTCGCATCGGAGCTCCACTCAGAATCGAGAAGTGGATTTGTGCAACGGCCCCTCAAGAGTTCCGCCACCACGAAAAAAAGAATTCAGGTACATCGACGTCCGAACCAGGGTGAGACAATATTTCCGATTAGTACCTAATCAACTCCCGCACCGATTTCAAGAATCCGCGTGACAAGCACACGCGGGTCGCGAGCCCCCTTGCCTCGCACTGAGTCTCGGATGAGGAATATCTCGTCAGAATCGTTCTCGTCAATAGGGGCTCATAGCTGCCTCAAAATCCGTGGGCCATTGGAACCCGATCTCAAGGTTTCACGGTTGCCTTCGCTGTTTGGATTCGCGCAGTCTCTTGACTCGACCAGTTCGATGCCGATTACGATTCCGACGTGCAAGGGCTTAGCTGATCGAGAATAACGGGTGGTATTGGTCTTCTCAGCGCTTTTTTTGATGACCGACTGAGTTGAGACATTCGGAGTGAAACTGGGGTGCAGCCCATCACATCCGCCTCCGGAGGAGGAGAAGCTGTCGGGGAACAAGGACATCCTGAAAGCTCCCGAAATCATCGCTGGCGACCACGACGAGCTCAACGGAAACATTATAAAGCAGGACGGCGGAAAGCCAGACACGAAAGTGAGTCTCTCTTACACCTGATTCGCGGTCGTAGATGATGAAGCAGAAATACTCCGATCGGTGTGTGACGCGCGGTTTCACGTCTCGGCGTAAGGGACCGAGTCCCGTCGGGAAACTCCCAGATTAAGAGTTCGATCGCTATATTTCCCGAGTGAAGCTACGGTTTCGGAGGCAGGTGCAGGGGGCGAAGCTCGTCGAGCGTGACCCGGATTCGGCCCGTGTAATTAGTAGCTTGCTTGCTAGGAGCCTGTAAGCCGGATTGATTTTTGTCAAGCCGCAGAACATTAGGACACAATGTCGAGGTTTATTGATTGGCAGTATCGTCTCGCCCGAAAGACTATCATGCTTGTCGGTAGGTTGGTCGGTCGGTCGGTCTGCCTATCGCTCTCCGGGTAGCGCAGCCATCTCGTCGTCGGGCTAGACGACGTGCCTGCTACCGACTCGAGACAAGGGAGCGAACCTTTCGTCTGTAACCATGGCTACCTAGATGATACGGCAAGTCAGCTCTATTTGAACTTTAGCTGAAGCTCTTTCGAGCCAGAGCAGGACGTTTGCGCGGATACCTCAGCGGGAGTTCCCGAAGAATCGAGAGCATAGCCGAAGGAGCTGGTTTTGCTTGTGACGTCCCCCTGGACAAGCATTTGAGTGAGTCCGTGACCAGAGTTGGAAAAGCACAAGGATGCAGATTCGTCCGGCATCTGCATCTACAGGTGGTTCTGAACTCGAGATTCTGACCTCGCTCGTGATGCCGCGGTCCCGACGGTACTCGGCGCTCATAAGACTCAGGAACGGCGTCGGGGCATCGGAGTCGCTGTTGTTGTTCTCGCAGCGGTCCAACCGAGTTCCTGTCCCTCGGAGAAGCTGATCGATTGACTCAGATCGGAATCGTGAATAAGAATGTACGTCAGCTTGGAGCTAAAGCATTCCCTTGTCGGACGTTGCAGCTTTCGGACAACTCGAGTGTGAAATCTGAGAAAATGACCGTTCTGTATCACACTGATGGAAGCGCTCCCTGTCGAGCGGTGAGGATGCTCGCGAAAGAGATCGGTGTCGAGCTGGAACTCAGGAGCTTGGATCTCTTCGCCGGCGACAACATGAAACCCGAATTTCTCGAGGTGAGTCGCTTGCCACCCACGGCATTGGCCCTGAAGGCTCACCTGGAACTCTCGCGCGAATCGTCACTTGTCGTCGTTCCTCAGCCTCTCAATTGATGCTTCTCGTCGCAGATAAACCCACAGCATACCGTGCCCACGATTGTGGAAGACGACTTCGTCCTGACAGAGAGTCGAGCTATCATGACGTATCTGATGAACAAGCACGCACCCGAGAGTTCTCTCTACCCTCAGGTAGCTAACAGATCCGATCGACTTGCGACTTCTCCGATAATCCGGAGGAGGTACATATCTGCCTGTAATCATTCCCCTCGATTTCCATGATCTTTACAGGAACCGAGAGACCGCGCACAAGTTGAGAAATACCTCTATTACGATATGGGAGTATTGTACAAATCAGTCCTTGACCTTTTCGTGAGTTTCGCGCTTCGATCTCACCATTCTCCGTTTCTGAATACGGCTCGAAAATACCATGGTGATTTCGGATGCGTAACTGGGTGCCAATGAACTTTGGCTCAAGTTTTGCCCGACTGATTCCGACCTCGATTTTTCTCAATGTTTTCAGCTCGCTCCGCTCTTCGGACGGCCCTGCCCCGAGGATGCCGAGGAACGGCTCAAGAGCGTGCTCGTATTCCTGGAGGAACATGTGCTCGGTGATAAGGAATACATCACAGGTGGGTACTCTATGCATCCGACCAGGCAAGGCAGAGGCCGTCTCGTTCAACAAAAAATGAAAATACCATCGAGACAATTTCTCGTGGCAATCTCATCTCCGCTGCTTCCCCGATAGAAAAATCTCGGCGTTTCAGGGGAAAACTTCACCATCGCGGACATCTGCATAGGTGCAACCCTAACCTGTCTCGAAGTAGGTATACCTTCTTCGCCATCTCCGGAATCCGAACAATGACCGGGGGGAATCGGAATGGCGATCAGAATGTACGTTCATAATATGAAGTCGCGCACTCTCCTGCTCGCCAACTGATTCAAATTCAATCTCTTGAAGGCTTTCGAATTCGGATTTCCCGATGCTCCCCGTTTAGAGAAGTACTACACGGAGAAGATCAAAGCGCTCCCCTATTTCGATGAGATCAATGGGCCCGGTATCGAACTACTGAAAAGCATCAAATCGTGAGTTATCCCATCTTGGTCGATCGGGAGGAGAATGCTTAACGCTATCCTCGTGCGTAAAAAATGACTTGGAATGAATTCGCTCGTAATATGAAGTCGGTGTCTCGTCTCCCGAATTGTGGAGCGGGAAGGCATCTCAGTCAGCGCTCCGATTCCTCCCCTCGCTAGAAGAGCTTCAGATCTCGACAGCATGCGAATGTCCGGAGAGTGCATCTCCTTGACCAAAGATGCCACGCTGAGCTTCCACTATAGGCGTGTGGGTTTGCAGGTGGAAGTTCCCATGGCGCTCGAAGCGAACGCCCCGAGCGCCAACCCCTGACGTGAAGTCGACAAAGCTCCACAACAACGGATATCGCAGACACTCAGTACTGCTTATTTGCAGGACTGAGGAAGCGACCCCCGAAGAGGAGCAAGAAGGAGGGGCGGCTGACGAAGAGGCGGGTGAAAATACTGCAGAAGCGGATGCGAATGAGTAACACGTCGAGGCATTCCCTAGAACTTCCTGAGGATGGCAGAACCCCTGGCAAGCATTTAGATTCGCTTCGATATCAATATGGCTGAACGTTCTTCGTTTCGGCAGAGAATGTGGGGAGTATCTTTTTGATATGCCGCAGCGAACAAACCTACACTTCAGAGTTGATAGAAAAAATACAAAGAAACATAGAAGACACGCTGTTTGAAAATAAAATAATCTCCCGCTGCTATCGTTTTCTCTCGCGGAAGTAGTTTATTTTTTCTTCCTGGAATTATTTACAACGATGATGTTCTGACGAGCGCGACTGTATATTCCTGAGAAGGAATGAATTCGTCATTACTAGGGATCGTTAAGGTTGGGAGAGTGATGGATTCTGTCTTCCGCGTTCCGCTCAGCAGCTCAGATTGATCGTGAGCTCGGGATTTGAACTCGGTCCTTTCTTGAGCACATTTCTCAAAAATTGTGCGGAGTCACGTCAGCCTTGAGGTTCCTCCCTCAATTTCTTCCCGTGCCCACGTATCAGGGTTAAATCTGTTTTTTTTTGTATGATCCCGGGAGGAACATGACGCGAAGAGACATTCGTATATGTGGAATGCGATGTTGATCTGGCCTAAATAATCGGTACAGAGAGCTTTATTTCGTGTAGAACGGAGGAGTCGTCGGCGGATACGGTGTCGTCAATGTGCACTGTCCTGTGCTTTGGAGGATTTCAGGACAGACGCAGCTCCTCCCGTATCGGTCCGATGGCAGACACATGTAGTCGCAATCCCCTCGCCTCGTCTCGCACGACGTATTGACTGCGAAACATTGGAACGCGTATTAATATTGCGGGAACGGATCGATCGTTCAATTACTATAATTGATCGCTTCTGCGCTCGGATCTGCTGCTCTCAGACCGACGGGGGGCATGTACGCGGGAGATTAACATGGAGGAGCTTACTTTGCGGACATTGTTTGGGGATCACTGCGACTGAATATAATCTCGAGCTGCCGAGTCCCGCTTGCGGATATTTACGGGGGCTGAGCTCTGTCGCGTTCGTTCGATCGAGCATCTGGAGATATGGCACGTTCCAGTCGGTCCAATACACGCGGTGTCCTGGGGAGAAGGCGGTACGTCATTCGAAGTTTCGACGCATCTTTCTAACGGGGACGTCTCGAGCGACTCGTCGCCTCATGAATATGAGAATGAGGCTTACTGTGCAGAGCGATGCCGAAGATCTTGCTGTCAAACTCGTTTGAGCTGTGGATCACTCGGCGCGATCTGACGGTCGGAACCACCGTCGGGTCGAGAGAGACGCACTCAATGGTCTTGCGTCCGGCGTCGGTCCAGCATAACTCATCGGACTGGAAAGTCGAAAGGGAAATGTGATTTGAGCATCTACCGGGATCCTCATGTTCCGGAACATTCTTCAGGATTCTCCACGAGATTCACCTCGACATCGACGGCCAACATGTTCGGGACGACTAGCTCGTGACCGACGATTGTCGTTCGGTCGTTGCCATCCATGGAGACTGACTCTATTCGAGGATATTCCAGACTTCTATCCGAGAAATACACTTTCCTGAAACAAAAAGAAAATATCTCTCCGTACACTCGTTTTTGGTGGAGCCTCGAGGCTCCGGGGCTGATCGTGTCAATCGATTATAGCGATCCTCGCTCATGGCCTCGAGCGGATGGATGTTGATCAATGAATAATGTGGGGACGTCGGAGCTTCTGGCGTGGGGTGCTTGTGATAATTCGCTCATTTAGGATGTTTCGATAAAACATTATCTATAGAGAGAGTGAGGAGAATTCTGACTCACCCTTTCTTGGGATGGACAGCAATTCCACGAGGTTTATCGAGGTCGTCATCGACAATGGTGTAAGTGTACTGGAAGTTATGCATCGAAGCGACTTGGATTTTCTTTGCCCCGGAGTCGACCCAGAAGATATTTCCCGATTTATAATCAACCGCGATGCCTTCGGGATTCATGAGGCCTGCAATAATAATCGATCCATGTAGTCATCATAGAATACGCAGAAGGAAGCGAGCCGTTCAGCATGGCATTCGGCTCTTCCCTTGTTTGGAATTGGTTATACATATTATGCAACGGCTCATTCGAGGAAGTTTAGTTGAAATCTCAAGCGCATGGAAGTTCTGAGGAAATTACCTGAAACAACTTCCTCCCGCTGCTTGCCATCCGTTCCAACTCTGAAAATTTTCCCGTTTATCGTATCCGTATAGTAGATTTTTTCGTGAGCGCAATCCACAGCGACTCCCACGATCTATTGGGAGCAAGAAGAGAAATTCAAGGGTGAAAACCAGCGATAGATACCGGCCATGACAAAGAATAAGTCCCGAATTAAACTCCAGAGTGGCGGAAAACCAATAAAAAATACCAGGAAGAATGTCTAAGAGCAGATACATATATTTCAACGACAAGCTATACCTCCGAAGTGTCGAGCCCCAGGCCGAGAAGCCGGGCTGTAGATGCGGGAGTAGGTACGGACGGTACTTGGAGAATCGTCATTCCTGGGAGAGAAGCGAAATTTCAGCCATATAGTCAAAATGCTAGATATCTCGGGAGCCATCGGAATATCGGGGGTTTTTTACTGACCGCGAGCGAACACAACTCGATCAGAATCGCTGTCGAGCGTTCGTCGAGTGCAAGAGGTTCCGTCTCCGACGTAACCGCGGTCGCATCTGTAATTAGCAATAATTAATCACATGAGAATTATTCTACCTATCCCGATATGGTCTCCGAGATCATGATGCTGATCTGGAGGGCCAAGATATACGCGCACTACGATCGACACTCACACGCATGTTCGATTTACGCAACGAGCGTTCCTTGGACATTTTCCAGGATCTTCTTCGCAAGAGATCGTTCGACAGTCACGAACGCCGTCACCGACCGTTCCTGTGAATTACGTAAAGCGATGTGAAGGGAGTCGCGACGACTAACCGCCCGCCTTTCCCGAATTCTCATCTTCCTGAGCTCGATAGCTAACCTTGCATGCAGAGACAAGCGAAGACCCCTCGGGCATCTCTGACGCAGGACGCCATTGGGTGACACGGACGGGAGCATCTGTCCTCCATACTCCCGGGCTGCTGGATCGTTTGGATAGGCTCGCAGAACTGACCGTTGTGCTGGAAGCCTTGGTTGCAACGACAGTCGGGGCCATAAGCCGTATCTATGCAATGAGAGTTCTGTGCGCAGGCGATCGATGTGCTCGCACAAGTTCGCGGGATCGCGACTGCTAATTCTGCTGCGAATCGGGAAAAAACTCGGTTATGTTCCTTCCTCCGTAAGGGAATTGAATTGCCCACGTCAATTCAGGCCATGCCCTTCCTCCAACAATACTCACGAACACAGCGTCCATTCCGAAACTCCGATCCTTGGTTACAGACACAGCGGTAGTCGATGTCCCCGTTCGGGACACACTCGGCCTCACCACAGTCTTTGTTCAAACAGGGGTCTAATGCTGATTTGCCTGTGAAGATCGATCATGGAGTTGGGCTCCCAATGACGCGATCATCGATCGACCCGACGAAGATCCACAAATTAAATTTTTCCTTTCGGAATCACTCACCGATTCTGAAATCAGCTTCGGCATGCATATTCACTCTGCCAGGCGGTGCTCGATCGTCTACACGAACAGTACCACGGTTGACAACAACCCTGAAAGCACGGCACTGATTAGAGGTCTGTCTTTCGAAGAGGAAGAAGGCAGTGACTGAAATCTTCGATAGAGGAACCGCTCCTCCGAATCGTCTACCCACTTGATAGGTGTATCCAGAAGCTCCTCGTCACACGGATTCGCTGTGAACCTGTGAAGTAAAAGAATGATTATTTGACATCAGGCTCGGATACTTGCCGATAGCGAAATTATAATTTGAGTAAGGAGTCAGGAATAAATAAAGATCGATTTCCCGGCGCGCGGCCACGCCACCGCCGAACTCCCGATCGCGAACCCCTCTATACTCTCAGAATATTCTTTCCGTTTCCATTCGGTTCTCGAGTGAGTGAGACCGAGCCTACCTGATCGACTGGTCGACGTTGAAGATGATTGATTCAGCTTGAGGACCTTCCAATACGAATTGGAGACTGGATTTCGACTCGAAAACTCCAGACTCTACTTGACTGAATACATTCACGTACTCGGGCACCTGGGGTGAAAAGCCGAGGATGAATGCGAATTCTCCAGTGTTGTCGCAATCTACTAAAGCGGAAGAGCGGATGGGATCACCTGTAACTGCTGTACTGTCGGAATTCTCGGCAGGTTACCCCGTACTTTGAAACTGGCCTGCAGCGTGTTCGAATAAGTCAACCCTGCAATGGAAATAAAATAATTGAGGCTCTTCATCTATTTTCAATCGTTCCTCCTCGACGGGACGGCCATGATGTGTAGATTCATCCGGAATCGAGAATCCCCTCGTCTCCTCTGATCAGAAGAGCTCCTAAGTGGTAATTCTCCTCACTGTTACCTTGATATTCCTCGTCTATCCGGATCGTGCTGCCGTATCCGGGGAACGAAATCTCCACAGTTCGGTTGAAAACTCCTCCACTCAAGAGCAGACCATTCCCTCCTGAGGATGGACAGTCAGTGTCAATGAATGAGAATTATATTCAGGTACCCTTGAGGATTTCATGGATGCCCACGGCCAACGACTCCAAAATGAACGACAGTGTGAAGTTGGAGTCCGCTCAAGTACTTATGCGGATCTTGGACGAGTTCACGCCGCTGCATGGAATTTCTCCAACTAACGGTCAAGACGCGACTGGGAGAAAACCTCTTGCCGAGGGGCGCCATAGGAAACGAGACGAGCTCAACCTCGCGAAAGCTCGATCATGACCCCTCGCGGAAAGTGCCGACTTCCTTCCGCTCTCGACCTTGTCTTATGGTATCACTCATTGCTCACCAGAGTTGACTTTTCCGAAGAGCCAATGGAGGCCTCCGCTGATGGGATAGAGTGCCTGGGAAGAGGGAATAATTTTTGAATCCCTCATAAGCCTCGCAATGGACAAGTCTCCCACTGGTCGAAGGAATTCGGGTATCGTATGAGACTTCACGAAGAAGCGTCTACGGATACCTGGAGTTCCCTCGCTGTGAACAAGTGGTCTGCTGAGATGGAAAAATAAGAAAGTCCCGAGGTCGAGTTTCCATAGCCGTAAACGTCGGTTGCCTTGATCTCACGCTGATCGAGTGTGCCTTCAAAAGTTCATCCCATCATTCCATGCTGTGTAATATGGCCTAAGACTCGGGGAATTCTTCGAGTGCCCCTCTGATCTTTTACATTGGCCGTAGAGCCCCAGTCCGCATTCATCCACGGATCGAGAAGAAATGTGATCATGAGGAGAGCGGACGAAGGAAATACCCACCCTCGAGTTTTCCTATCACGTGGAACGCCAAATGAGATTTCAGGGGTTCGCAGAAATATCCATTACCAATTGTGCCCGCTGGACAAGTGCAGCAGAAGTGGGACCCGACATCCTGTAGAATTGCGAAAGTTACTTCTCTCGGCACGAACACGGCATTCTCTCCGTGCTAGATCCGACAATGGTCGAGAGCTGTTTCTTTGCTATCGTCTCAATAAGCATCCTACCTGGCATTCCGCTTCAGGATGACAAGGATCGCTATTGTCTTCACACGTGTTGCTCTCTATCCGGAACGGCAATTCGGGTTCTTCAATGGTCCCGTCGACTCTGTACAAGTGAAGCCCATTCTCGAGCGTGTTGCTCCGCCTGAGGAAGAGAATAAGACACGATAGGCATTCCAAGGAGTTTGCGTCGTCAGAGCCTAATTATTTCTGCCTTGGCGAGGAAGTTCTGCGGATTTAGCTTCCACTGAAAGTGTACGGATGTGGTCCGGAGCAGCCGCTGGGAATCGATCAAAATAGGCCGCGATCGATTCTCTTACCTGTCTAGCGAAAGCATTCGCGGTCCCCCAGACTCTCGTAGTGCGACTCCGCCGCCTAAAATGAAGGTGGTCTGTTATCGCGAGCAGCGACCGGAACCGATCCGAGCGTCCTCGTTCCCTGTATCCGTCATATGAGCCTCACCATAGCCGTCGAAAAGTCCTGCTTGAGCCCAAAACTTCGGTCGACCGGGCTGGGTCACGAAATCAGCCCACTGTATTCCCTTTTCAGGGTATGACATGGCAACGAAACTCTTCCCCTCGCTGCTCCCGATCGCGACTTGGAATGTGTTGTACTGCGAATTGTCCATTCGGGGATATCAGATGACGGATCATAATCCTAGCTCATGAGATCTATAGGTATCTAGGCTTTCTATTCCGTCAACTGACCTTGAGAGGAGATTCATCACTGCCCTTGGCTGCCGTGCGGTACCAGGTGACGACGATGAGGGATTTTGTCTCGACGACTTCTTTGAAGTACTTTCGAATGAGATCATCGAACCTTGGATTCGGAAGGGATATATTGAATTCTTCTTCCCACTCGAAATAAATACACTCGCTCTGAGTCTGGGACCGTCGATCGACGATCTGTGGACTTCCGGGTCGCTCTCCGACTCACCTCTCGAGATCATCGGTGTTCTTTGTTTCTTCTCGATAATAAATTTTTCCCTGAGTGGCAACATCGATATCAGCGAAGAATGGCGCGATCGTCGGTGAATGTATATGATTCAATGGTGAGAAGAAAGAGGTAGAGAACTGACGGAGACCTATCAGGCCATTTTCACCAATCTGAAATACCATCGGAAGAATTCAGACTCCCTCCGAGCAAAGTACGGCCAACTCAGGAACAAGAGCGCAATCCCGCCGTTTTCCGATAAGATTGCGCTTGGATGGTGGTGTGAGTGCCGGCTCCCTCCGAAAATCATCACCCTTAACTATGGAACACTTTTCACAGGGAGCCTAAGGGAAGATCCAGGTGATCAGCTGGCGGGGCCAAGGGGAGTATTGACGCGATTTTACTCGAGTTAGACTCAGGCTTATTCTGTCATTCCGACGAGGATATGCAGGAGCTCAGCTCTCTCAGGATCTGATCGCGTGCAACGCTTGGATGTCGCTGACCCTGTGTCCCAAGTGACTTGTGGGTATGGTGCTCGGGGAACGCCGAATGCACAAAGGGTCGTCGAAGGTAGGACCGGTGATTCGACGCCGGAACCTGGCGCCCGGAGACCCACCCGCAGAACTGTCAGATCTGTGTGAGGAATCCAACTGTACTCCACCTCTAACATAGGACTCCTTACTCCTAGGGTAGGAAGTACGAATGGAATCCTGCGGGGAATGAAGGAGGGGAAGAAGGAAATCGGGTTTGAGCAGAGTACCCTCGGGAGATCTCCTTGAGCCAGGGCTTCCCCCTTTCTTCTGTATTACTTCTTCAATGAAAGAATTGGAATTGTTCCTTCTTGGATGAGAATGACCGAAGCATCGAATATTTTACTTCGGTGCGCGCTTCATTCTCTTATCTTCCGAGCTCTTGCTCCCTTAGCGAATATCGGTGCAATCCCGTGCTCTGGAGATATCTCCAAGCAAAGAATAAAGGTACTCAGAACGCTCGAACCGTCAGATTCTCGATAAAGAGACAATCTCCGATTTCCCTCGAAGCTCTCGAGAGTCCCCGGAGGTTCACCTTGTTGTCTAGATTCATATCGTCTCACGTTCGCTCCCTTCTGCTCGAAACTCACAAAAATGGTCCCGTACAGCTTCCGCGCGAAGTTCACCGGGAAACTGAGCTTGACCTCTTGGAGATTATCGGCGGTATCCTCAAGGACCTCGTCATCTTGACCGAAGGCGAACAAAGTTTTAGAATCCTCAAAGGCGTTAGCGACCGACACGGAAGCGAAGACACAACAGAAAAGCAACGTTGTCCGCCGCATTTCTCTGAGCGAACCGCACGACGATGGAACACAACGACAACGCTAGGAGGAAGTCCAGCGCAACCTCTTGAAACGGATTCGATAGCCGATATGCGTTCGGCTGAGACTCGGCGGTGCTCTAGCAAAGAAACTTGTTCTGGAGAGGGTTCTCGAGCGCTCCATCCCCTCGAGTATCGGTCGTTAGCGGCGGCGACGACGACGAAGATGAGTTGTAGACGGACGAACCGTGAATTCGTGGGCGGCGGCCGGCACCCGTACTCGTGTACTCTTTAATCGGTTATCCACGGCGACGACCCCGACGTCGACAGCATGTTCTCGGCTCGTCGTGCGCTCTGTTGCGTGTCGTCCTGAAAAGGGGCGCCAGACATTTATTGTCGAGATGATGATTAGTCCGACGCACCCAATGATGATTCTTCCACAACAAAAAAGCGCTCCGGGACAATTGAGTAATGAGTCCATAATTGCGATCAATAAACGAATGTCAGTTGACTGACGGTGCCACAAATCGCCGGCACAAACAACAGCAGCATGCCGTCGCTGCCGCCATATGGACAAGAAACGACGATGCGTATTAGTTGGGCGTTGGGCGGCAAAGGCTTTCCACCGTAAGAGAGAGCGACCCAGACACGCCAATAGAGCTCCGAACCCACCGATCTTCGCTGTGGGATCAATGACTCGAACCGACTTCATGAACTCCGACTCACGCGGCTACATGAAGCAGAACGAAGAGAAGGTGTCTCTCGATCAGGGCGGCTGATCGCTTCGTCCCTGGGCGGTGCGAAGTCTGAGAGGATGATGCCGCGACCAGATCGCGTGAAAGTTCAGGTGGGCGAGCGTCTTGGTCCTGTCACAAGGTCGGGTAGAGGTCGTCGGCATCGAAGATTTTCGCGCATACTCGAACACGAATTTAAATCGAGATATCGGAGCTCTTTCTCTTGGAGGAAACTCAATCCGTCTCTCAGAGGGAGCACATTCCAGGGAGTCTTCCCATCGAGTTCATTGACTCTCCATCCGCGGGACGGTGCGCGGGCTTCCATCTGGTTGGGTTCCTGGACTGTAGAGTACAGAAGGAACAAGAGAAGGAAGAAATTTTTACTTTCTGGGAACTGACTAGGCATTCATTCTTGCTCAGGCAGCTGCCCCGGCTTCACGCAGCTTTCACGGATACGGAGTGGGTCTCAACGAAGCGTCATCGTATTCCATTGCATATCGAACTGCACATTCCACTCACATTGAGGGTCTGGGAACGGAGAGTGATATCAGTGACTTATCGGATATCTTCGAGTCAAGGGTGCGCCTCTCAAAATATGAGTCGACGATACGCTCGGGAATCCAAGAAAAAATACTTTGACATAGTCTCTCCAAAGATTATCTTCTGCCGGAGCGATTGTGGCGATTCGAATCGTGCCGAGAGTCGAGATCGAGTTATTCAAAGCTTCCGCGATGAGCTCACTATGCGAGGATATTCGTCCCGTTGCGCGGACTGTCCCGAGGGAGTAGGGGAACAGGAAGCGACTAGGAAAGGAAACATCCTTCCACCCAATAAACTCGGTACGGATATTCCTGTTTCGTGGCAGGTCGGTCAGGGAACTTGGGTATGATACCTATGAGTTGATTAGGGAGTCGAAAGCGTCATTGTCTTGACCCGAGTCCGGTAGAAATCACGATGAGGAAAGATTACACATTTACACTCCTCTGAATAGGGGAGTGTAATAGCGATTTTTCATCAAAGAGGTCGCAAGCCGGAGAGCACGGACCTCTGCCCCGACAGTCGGCGCCACACCCGGGAAAAACTCGCTGGGTTCAAGTGCACGGAGCAGGTGCAGAGAGCTCAGAATTTCCGACCTCCGACTTGAATCCGAGCGCGAAATTCCACATGAAGCTCCGTCGTGGGAGGACGGAGTATCCAACATTGCATACCGAAGGTCCGATGCGGTCTGGGGCCAAGTCGAACATCTTGTCAGAGATCGTATTGGAGTGCTTCGCGACTAAGGATTTGGCCGAATGGTATCTGAACTCTCAACCGGCGAGAACTCGGAGGAGTTTGCGGAAAGCGTTCGGGACGCCTCGATCGGCCGGAGAGTGGAGAGCTGGGAAACTATATCGGCATAGGACGAGTCTTGAGTCCTGATTCCCCGCGGAGATTCCTAGAACTCGGAAAAGAAAAGTCCAAAAACCCTCATTTATCAACATCAGAATAGAGTTCTGGATTTATTCTCGTTGGAATTCTCCTCCAATCCTCTCCAACTCTGGAGATACCCGGATTCAACTTACGAAATGTTAGCAGCTAAAACATACATTGTACCGCGGTATCCGATTTTATGACAATCATTTCAGCTTCGGTCGAGATATTCCCCACATAAACATAAGGATCCTTGGGTGTGGATTACGCTTTCTAGGTATTTCCCCCCATAAGTATGTACACACAAGCTACCCACGGGACGCGGGATATTTCGGAGCTCTTCCTGTCTCCTACAATGTTCCCGGGAGGATCTCGGTGCATATCGCCTGGTGACGACAATGATGAATTTTCTTCGCAACTGCGAGCGGATGACAGAGGATGACGGCACTATCATTTGCTCGAAAAAAAATCTGTCCCTTAATCTTCCGTCGGCTGAGGAACCTATTTCATCCTGGCGGTTATCCGTCGAATCGGAAACACCGCCATGAGAGGTGATTCGATCGTCGCCGTCGTTCGGCGCTGGCAAGGAGCTCTGGTCCAGAACCTCGCGACGGGGCCTTCATGGAATCCCCTGTCCTGAGCTCGAGCTTTCGGCGAGCATTGCCCGACGTTGTCCCATTATGGCTATGAATACAGGCATACTGTCCTTCTCTAACGAGTAAAATCCAACGACGGAATTATTCCGGCCTATAGCTCGCGGAAAGAGGTGCTTCCTCACGGTATATTATTCCCCCAGCTATTGGTCTCCTCGCAATATTCATGTATAAACGTATTTAACTCTGATGCTTGACGCCATCAGCATGATGTTTGATGCCTGAATGCCTCAGACTCCGATCTCACCTATACTATGAAAGTACGCATCGTTTGGGCCTGGGATTATTATGAATATGCTCCGACAGTTGAGAGCTCATTCTCCCCTTCTGATGAAGCGTATGCTCTACCATGCCTGATCGATTCCATCTCATCAGTCTGGAGAATCTCCTGAAGAGGGAGCGAGGAAATCTAAAGGAAGGTGGAGAGCGCTACTCAGGTCCATGTAATTCCGACGTGCTCTTCCGGCCGTGGAACCTTCCCGCTGGAACCCGTCTTATCAATCCCGATTTCAATTACTGAAATCTTTCCTGTTCCTGTTGTTGCGCGGCCATTCGAGTCACCATCGAATATTCCTTTTGGTAGCCTTCGATGCAATTCTTCATGGGACGGATGATAAAACTCCGGTCGAACTTTTGTTTCTGATCGGCCCTGCAATGTACGCACATGATCGTTTCTCTCGACATGGGAGTCATCGCAGGATAGCGTACGAGTGGAGGTCTGAAGTCCGCGGTGGACTGAAACAATTACACCCGAAGTCTCGCTACGAGTCAGCGAAAGAAGGTCAGAAGGAAATCAGACCCCTGTCCCCTTTCGAGCAGTCTCCATCCAAGTACGCACACACCCTCACATCCAGGGATACACACTTTCACGACTGACACAACAAGAGCAGTAGCAGCAGCAGCGGCAGCTTTGGTAACATCTCTTCCGGAGTCTGCACCGTACGAACGGATGCCCGAATCTGCGACGGAGACTCATGGAGAATGAAAGACTCATCGACCGGTCAGCGAAGAGCAGAGATAGGATATTTGGAAAGCTCCTCGCGGCGGCCCCAGACTGTATCATCAGAAACTGGTATCAGCCTCGAAGTGGAGCGCCTCTCAGAAGTGAGGAGGAATTCCTGGGTCGACCGGATACGCGTTCCATGAAAATCGTCCCGTTATCCGGAAATCTCTTCCCTAGCGCCTCAAAGACGAATTCGGAATTGACAGAAATTCAAGCTCGGTCACGATTCTGGGCAGGATGGGGCCCCATCATGGACGCTACTGCGGATATGACCTATATACAATAATTGATGAAATTCATCAGAATTTTCAAGATGCAAGCAAACTCGAATACCAGACCAAGGAAGGTTAATCCTTCCCGATTTTCCTTGAAATCGCAATACATGCGAGAATGACTCTGTAGGCAAATGAAAACGGTAAATCACCCGATGTCCCGCATTCAGCTGAAGACTTTTTTTGCCGGAGCGTGAAGGGCGGTGTGAGAAATCCATACTGACAAATCCTGAGCCCTACCGCGGAAGTATGTACATTCCCTATTTCGAGTGCTCCCCACCCTCGACTCGGAAACGTATGCGAAACCATCCCCCCAGGATTTGATCTTTGAAGAAAAACTCAGAACGACTTCACCCTCCAGAGACTCAGTCCATGCACTGATTATCCAAAAAAGAGATACTTTTCATCTGGGTAGTATCTTCCGGCTATCCAGGAGCGGCAGAGCTCCCGGCATGGTGGATGGATCCCGCATGCCGATGATCTCTTTACTGCCGTAGGTCTTATGAGATGAGCGAACACTCTGAGCTGTGAGCCGAGATATCGCAGTCGCGGAGCGGCTGCTCGGACAAGAAGCTATTTCGTCGCAGATAGTAGGAAAAGAGAGGAGGGCAACATGTTTGATATTGTAATAATACACTGACGAGTGCAATTTACTGTAACAGAGACTTGTTTCGGTTGTGATGTAGTTGAAGTAGTCATCGCGGATGGGGAGCTTCGGCAGTCGTCACAGGGTCGCGAGGCATCAGCTAAAATATTCTTCCCCCGATTTGATTGTTCTCGGCCAAGCAATCAAACGAATGACCGGAAGACATTAATCTTTGTATGAAGGAGGCAAGTCTCGTGAGGGATGACAACACTACAATTGCTGTATACCACACCGTATGATGAACCACCACAGATGATGATATCGGGGACGTAAGGAAAATAAAGGAGCGCATTTACATAATACGAACCTAGCACAGTGATCGAGTTTTACCACAATCAGCTCATGATGAATGAGAAACAACGGAATCATGTTTGGATGAGATGGAATAATGAATCGCTTGATCGATTTACAGTTTCGCCGCTTTCGTCCGTCAGAGACGGTAAGAACAAACTCAGGAGGGAATTCAGCGTCGACCGCACAATGTTGTCTCCAGAGTTCCTCGCTTTCTGTCGTTGTTGTCGCGGCTGCTGCTGCTGCCGTGGCTCGTTGGCGGTGCCGGCAGCACCGGTTCATTTAGGCTTGTTTTCCTCTCCCACGAATTTGTTCCTCCTTTTCTTCTCGCTCTCTCACTCTCTTTCATTTTCACATGCACCTACTCTCGTCCAACGGTCGCCAGTTCTCGTCAGGTTTCCGAAATGCCCGACTGCCTTTTCTTACAATTGACCGCGACGCGCTCTCTGGACAATCCGGGAAGTCGAGCACACCTGTGATCCGAGCTCGGCGATTGAATTCTTGGCGGCCGGGCCGAGTCACGACTTCGTCTCGGCATTCAACCGAGGATCACCACAGAAACTACGTACCGTCTCGGAGCACAAGTTAACAGCGAGGGGAGCAATTTGGACACCTATTGTTGTATTTGTTGTTGTTCCGTTAGTTGTTTTTGTTGTTGCTGTAGTTGTTCTAGTTGGGATGGCGGTGGACTACGTTCTACTTCGAGTTGAGCCCGGTGTTCCTGATCCTGTTTTGGTTGTGTGTCTTGTGAGCTTATGTCCTTCTCCTGTAGCAATTTATCTCCTTCTTCCCGTTGAGCTCCTGTCGATGATGCTTTTCTCTCCTGATTATCCTCTAGGAGAGATGTCTGTTCCTGGCGTGGGTCTTGTTGATCTTTCCGAGACTCGCGTTGTTCCTGATCGGGCGTTGGTAGGTGCAGCTGATCCTGCGGCGTTTGTTGAGGCTGTTGTTGTGTGCGGTTGAGAATGTTGCTGTGTTCCTGGTCGTCGACGTTCACGTTCCTCTCGCCATCTTCGCTGTCTGTCGTTGTCGTCGTTCTGCTGTCCTCTTCGGAAGATGATATTTCACTAGCGGCTCTCACGCTACCGTCTTTGCTACCGGAGTTCGCGTCCGAATCATCGTCCTCCTCATCGTCATCACTTTCGTCTTCAACCTCGTCTTCGTCACTGTCTTCTTCGACGTCATCGGCTTGCGGATCCCGATGATGACGAATCCGCTTACGCCGATCGTTTTCCTCCTCGTTTTCATCGTCCCTTGAGGCGCGCCGTCTCCTCCGCGTCGGGGTGAGCTCTTCGGGCTTGGCTTTCTCCTCGTCGTCCTCAGCGTCCTGTCTCAGACGTTTTGAGGGCGGGTCTTCGTCCTCGTCGTCCGCTTCGTCCTCGGCACGGAACTGACCGCCGTTGTTGTGCTGCGTTGAGGTGCTCTGCTGAGGTTGTTCGTCGTCGCTGTCTTCGTCCGGATAGTCGACGAGCTTGACGGCGGTGAGTCCATCTTGACGAGGCGCTCCGTCGTCCAACGCCAGCCGCTCCTCGAGGTCGCTGATGTTCGTCGTTGTCGTCGTCAGCGTATCGTCCTCGGCTTCGAACCATTTTTCCTCGTCTTCGTCAAGCTGACGTGGATCACGCTTGTAGCGAAGTTCCGCCGCGCTCATCATTCCACCGACGTCGTTCACTGAGGGCATTTTCATGCGAGTCCGATCACCTTGCTCGTTGAACTTCGACCGGAGCTCCCTGAACGTTTTCACGTAACTTATGTCTTCGAGCTCCGCAGCATACTGCTCCACGACGTGGATGCCGAGCAGCGAAATGTCCTCGCTACGAATGAACTCGAACAATTCGATGATCGCCGAATCGAGCAGATTGTAACGTCCGCTATTGCGTTTCAATGCATCGACAACGGGCCGCAGCAGACAATTCACCGTAATGTGACGATTGTAGAAGTCATCCTTGAGACCAATGATTCTTCGAACAAACCTGCGGGAATACGATTCAATATGAGATCATTCACGTCGGCCGCGAGGAACGCTAGTCCATAATTGTCATCAGTCGAGTTCGGCAGGGAAGTGAACGAGGGGAGGATCCGGACCTCCCGTCGAACTAGTGAGGGGTAGGGCATTCTATCGAGATGGAAAACTCACCTGAGAGCACACAGCGCCAAATGGGGATTTCGGTACTTCATGAATTCGAGTACTTTCTTCAGAAGGTCCTTGTGCAGAATATAGTTCTTGATATGGTATGTATGATGTTCCACACAGAAGCTCAGGAACTCGATTATGTGCGCCAGTAGTGACGCTTTGGGCGGCGTGGGTGGTGTCTTCTGATGCTCGAGGATTCGATCGGTCAACACGTGCATTGAGTACTTGTAGAAGCCGGTGAGGAAGGAGTTCTTGTTTTCCGTTGGCACAAACGTCTCAGGATCGAGGAGCATTCGGAGGATACCACTCAACTGAACGGATACGCCCACGTCCGGTTCCGGGTCGGCCAGTATTTGTTTCAAAATTATTTCCATGAGAAGTCTCTCCGAACAGCTCTGATACTGTTCCAAACAGTACTGCCGAACCTGTTCGTGGGGGCAAATTCATCAGAAAGCCGCGCGGGGACCAGGAAGCGAACGAGCTCATGTCTCACGAAGATGATACAGGTCGAGAAAGATATGTGAATTTCAATATACCGGTAGAAAACTCACCATTGCAGTTGAGAAATCAACTAGATAAGAGAGGATATCGATGGAGGCAGACTTGATTATAGAATCTTCACTCTGCAGGGTACATTCGATAACTTGCAGAATACCCAATGTAAAAAGTGTTTTGAAAAACGGCTCTCGACTTTGCGGTTGTAACGTCTGTGAGAAATTGCAGAACTCCTTCAGGAAGAGGACGAGGTTCCTGGAAACGAAAACGATGAGGACCAGTTAGAAAAATGAGATTCCGACACACATTCGTACACGGGAGCGGAGTGGAACGCGAGAAGCGTATACGCAACGTACCGTTTCTGCTCGATAGAGGTGTCCTGCTTCAACTGCGTAAACAGCTGGTCTAGAAAGTTGCGATCATCTTGGAGGATCGTTACGATGTCGGATTTGTTGAAAAAGATGAAACTACTCAGAGAGGCCAGCATGTTCTCCTCGAAAATCGAGGGCGTGGGGAGAACCACCTCCTGAATATACTGCACGCGGTAGGTTTGGTGAATTTTTGACGTCAGCTCAGGGTCTGAGAACGGAATGACCTGGTGGAATTTGGCTGTCGCGTTCAGATATTCCCGATGTCGTATCCGAGGCTTGTTCGGTTCGTACTCGAGAACACCGACGACCTGCATTATGTTTTCTTCAGTGAACATCATATCTAACAGCGCGTTTTTATTCAGCAGGAAGATCGACTTGAAAATGTTGTACAGCGTGTGGAGCGAGTCCAAGTCCTCGAGATCTTCGACAACCGTGAAGAGATCGAGAAGCTTTGTAATATAGTCCTCGGACTCGATCGCGCTAGCGACGCTGTCTCTCCGCATGGGGAAAGGAAGACATTCTTGAAGGATTTTGCTGATGTCTGGTAAATGACTGATTTCACAAGTGGGCAACATCGTCCGCGACGTCGTATGGAGGGCGACTTGGCCTTCATGGCCTTCGTCTTCGCTTTCTACAACCTCCTGTGTGATGTCGACCGACGGATCGCGACCTTGAATCTGCAAAGTACAGCCTTCCCGTTGATGTCGAGTCCGGATGAAACTCCGAAGGAGATGGCTGACGACGGCAGTGGGCTGGAGATGGGCCTCTTTTATTTCTCACCTGACAGATCGTTTTCCAGATTTCATCGCAGCCCGCTCGCTCTTGGAAACTTAGCGCGAGATCATAGTTGTCACCTTCCGACCACACAATTAACGTTCCTTGCTGTCTTTGATAGGCGGTCTCAGGTTGAACTTTCGACTCCAACAAGAGAGAGGCTGGAACAGGAATCTTGATTAAAATCGGGTTCCAGTTCCTCCGACCCCATCCAAACTGAGCCATGATCCCCGCTAACAGAGAGCTCCTCCGCGACTTACCATCGATCTCAGCGCGCACAACAAGTGAAATTCCTCCCAGAGCGTCGACGTAAGGGGAGCTCACGTACCCCGTTCCCTTATCATCCCATTGCCGTTCGGCATTAAGTAAATACAGCTTCACCCTGCGTCGTACAGACTGTTCCTGATTCGCGGTATTTGTGATGCTCGTCGACGCCTGTTGCGCCGTCGAGCTCGCTCCGGAGCCCGAAGCCGAAGTGCTGGCTGAAGTGGTCGCGGTCAATGTCGCGGCAGCCGCACCGTTTTGAGCGTGCGGCGGGCTAGACTGGGGACTGGTGCTGCCTGAGTTCGTTTCTTCGCTACTCGTGTTCGCATCCTGAGTAACGGACGGGGTGATAGCTGCCCCTGTTTCTTGGTCTGCCCCGTCAGACATCGTCCACAATTCCACGGGTTGTCGGCTCCGTCCTGGCCGTTGCTGAAAATGAAGGCGATCGACGTCAGCTGGATTCTGGTGATAACGGGATTCGCCTCGAACTCAATTTATTATTGAGTTTTATCCCAAAAACTCGCGGGCGGTATGCGCCAGCTTATCGAATAGATTGCCTCAGAGTACCGGGATCATTGGACCGTGACGAACAGATCCGACTTCACTCGAAATCAGAGACCGAGTTCAGATTCAAGGAGCGCACGAGCAGAAGACTCTGGTGATATAATGACTATCTCGGGAGCAGGAATTATTCCGGTGAAACGAGAAATTCAACGAATTTCCCGCGATGCGATGAAAAGATTGATCCGCTTGCGCTTGCACGAGACGTCAACAGGAAAATGTTCATTTTCCGAAGGAGGAGACGCTTGCGGACGCGATGTGAGATTCTGTGGAATGACGGATTTCGGAAGCGTCCAGAAAAGCTTTGCTGAACAAAAGGCTTTCATTGAGCGTAGGGAGGGGGGGGGAGGGGACGTCTTAACTGGCTGGGGCTGCTCCCGAGACCTCAAAACTACGGAATCGTTCGGCGCCTCAAGAGTCTGAGCGGGTGTCCAATATATCGTGGGAGTTAGGCGCGTGACCAGGATTTTGTTTTTGGAGGGGGGGCAGGGCCATTGTCTTGATAGGGGCTAACTACCGATGATGATGAGCCTCAACATGGAACTCTATGGGCCAGAAAGAGATCTTGAGGGGGGGGGGCGACGCCACTGGTGGGAGTCGAAAGGAGTTTCCACTTCCCCGCTCAGTCATTCACATTGACTCGTGAGAGACGAACAGTAATATTACTTTCCGATATCCCGTATCGGTTGAATGATATCATCAATCTTCATCTCCATCCTTATCATCAATCTCCTTTCAACATCAGGGTCATATCTCAATCTCTTCTCAACATCAAGATTTTCGGACTTCTGGAAAATCGACTGCTCTCCCCTCCTCATTTCAAGGAAGCAGAAAACTGATGAGGTTGGGAGATCCAACGCAGAATCGATTGGGCCGCTCCGTCGCTCTGCTCAGGAGGCGAAATTCCATCCATCGGTATTTGGATAACTTGTTGTGAGAAAACTCCCAACGAGATTCCGGGAGTCCCCACCTCGATACTACTCGTTGAGCTTCACAATGCTCCGTGCAGCCATACATCCGAATGGTTCCTGGCTCGAGTGGAGATCTCGGAGATCTTCGAGATCGGATGTCTTTCAAGGTGGTGGGCTGAGCAGTAATTGAAAGATGAGCAAGAAGGGACACCCCCAAGTTCCGGATCGGAGTTCGGGGTCACTCCTTCGACTGTAGCTCCTTCGCATTCATCGGAGCGGTTTTGTACAGATCGTCCCGGCCGGAGGATTCTCGACGAAACGAGAAACATGGTATACACCTCAGCCAACGAGACCCTGGCAAGAATGACAAATTGAAGTCGCTCCGATGGATCAAGGGAGAACCAAGGGAACTCATCGGCCCGACTCAGTAACAGTGATGGAGGGACCATGGGTCATGTAGAAAATACGGGTCGTTCTCTCCGACTTCCCTCGGCGCTCGTTGCGTCATACAACGAAAAATAGTCCTTCATTTTCTTCCCAATGGATGGACCGTCCCTCAAGTTTGTTATACCCGCCTATAGAGCTCGTCCCTCTCCCTCCGAGTCCAGTGGCATCAGAGGAAATTTCCAAAAACGCACATGGCCTCATATTGGGCATTCCCCGAAAACTTGGCGGCGAGAAGTCTATCCGAAGCTACGGGAAACCTCGAAGGGCAGAGACGAGACCGGTGATCGAGAACGATGCGTTTAGCTTTCTCTTCCACTCAGATTTTCCTGAACGAAGATGGCGGACCGTCTCAAAGCAAGCGCCGAAATTTATTCCGAATGCCAACGGAGAGCTTTTCGACCCAGCCGACTCGTTACCCACGTTTGAGCGGACCTGGTTCAGCCATCGACAAATACAGATAGTGAGACGGGCAATTGTTGTGACCTCTCGACCCTGTTCGAAGTGGATCTCGCAAAATTAAAGCTGATAGCACTACAAACCTTGCACAGGAGGGGATTCGGAGTTGTCACTGAGCGCTGTCAAGCCTCGAGCGTCATTCTAGCGACTAGGCTCGTCACTTCACTGACAGTATACTCCGAAGCGGTCGCTTTTCACACAGTTTTTTCAATTTTTTGCACCGTTAGGCCTCACGCACTGACAGTGGCCTAAAACATATTTACAAACAATACGATATACTCGCTGGGCCAACGGAGCGGACCGGCTTTCCGCCAAATGGGCGGTACCACGGTGAGAGAAAGTACCACGAACGAATCACAGATAGATCCGCATGCTGACGCATCCGCTCAGTGACAACATCAAGGCAAAGTTTCAGACCACCGGAAGATCTCGGGGTGTTTCCCCGGAGTTGAGAAACGGGAGTTGTATTTCTAGGCACGCCAGTCACGAGGGAAGGTCTACTTGAAGTGGCACTTTCTGTGACACATCCGACGTCAATATTAGTTCGGTCTTCAAGGGCTCTGTCGGATTATTCTACCGCGAAAATTCGAAAAGTACTCAAAAACTCGTAGAGGGGAGAGAGTACGGGCCAGCCAGGTCTTCGTCACCTTTAATTCAACTGAGAAAACCTCCGGAAGCATGGGGGTATTCTGAAACCCTAGTCCCGGCTCCTCTCCCCGTGTTCCGCCAATCGAGTCTAATGGACTCCGTTGTGAGATGGCGACGCACGGCATTGTCGGAAGAAGTGTGAGATCGAACAGAATCGCAGTTATCATCTTCGCGGGAAATGAAGCCGATTCCTTATTATGGCAAACTCAATATCGCGAAAAGTGGTGGTCGTGGAGACGGAATCAACGGGCGTCGTTGACGATTCGATCCCTATCGCTTGAACACCCTTCTTCTTGTTCTCCCCCTCCCCTGCGATCCCTGGGGCTCAGACCTGAGAGGAAATTGGGGCATTTGTTCGCCGCTAGGTCATGAGGGAAGGTGCTGTTTCCCTGCTCAATCCCCGGAGTCTGGGAAAAATGGATTCCACGGTCGATAAGATCATCCCCCATATCTAGCATGATCTTCCAAAGGGAGCGTGGTCCCGAATCAGGAAATCAAGTTCTGGATCAGTTATGAGGTCGGGGGTTTGCGGAAATCGACAGGCTTCTTCACTCTGAATTTTCATTCTCCAATCGTCCCATGATAGAAATAGCAAGTCACTATATATCTCGAACAACTCCGGGGGGAGACACAAGCTCCTGCTCTGAATATGGCGCGCATGATTCTGTCGCTTCGTCTTCCGAAGGAGACTATCCTACACCCATATCATCGTCAGTTATCGGGAGGGCGCTCAGTGCGTTGTAGAAATTCTTGTCCCATCTCTGCGTACCAAGGGATTCCTTCACCCCAAGCTTTGCATACCCCTCTGGTCCTGCGGTTTCTCTAGTGGCGGCTGCAAACTTCTCCGACCTGCCGTTTCCTGATGAAAACTCGCGTCGCGATCAAGTCCTTATCATGTTATCGTAGTTCATGAGTTTGAACGAAGGTTGGAAATACAGGCTACCCACTACTGGCATGATGCCACCATCTCGATGCGCTTCTCAATTCGGTCGAAGCTTGGCTCAGTGCGGGGTTTCGCGCCCCTCTCGAGCTCTTTCTCGAATTCCTGAATCCTGATTGCACCTCATGGCATCCTGACGAGATCATTCAGGGGGCGAACGCTCCCATGTCGGAGACGAATCCTGAGGTGTCTGAGGTTCCGAACCTGCAATGAGAAACAATGATCCTGCGGCACGGTAAGATCCAGACTCTCTGGATACTCGACCGGCGGCCCGGCCACGGTTCAGCTTCCCTCGTGCAAACGACGCAGCGCCTTGGAGGGCCTATGCCTGATAGCAGCCAAGACCGAGGTGAATATCGTCATGCCGCCCATCACGTCCACGGCCTTGACGTTGATTCGTGCCTCGCCCCAGAGACATCCCGACAAGCTGTATTCAACCTGTTGCTCCCAGAGAGTGAAAACCCGGACTGCAGGACGCTCGCTGAGGAAACACTACATCAAATCGCCCCCGTCACCTAGGATCCTCCAGACTCGAGCGGTCCATCGATGAGACCGATGGACACGAAAATTCACGCGAAAACAATCAGAACGCTTCGCAGTCGTGTCTCCTTACAGCCCGGTTTCGCACAACCATCGGGCGGGGACCCGGTCCGCTCAGACGATGCATAAGTAGTATTTTTTCGCGCAATCCACCGAGCCGGAGGTTCCGAGTCTCGGACCCTCGGCCTGCTCTCTCATGCCGCTGTTTTCCGGAGTCAGCGCTCGGCGAGGCCCACTCAGATCCACCACGGGGTCGCGGCTCCATCCAGGGGTCGCTTGTGGCGCGCTTCCAATAGGGTCCAGGATTAACCCTGTGATCGAAGCAGGAAGAATCGGGGTTTCCTTCTGATTAAAAGCAAACAGCTTTGATGCTCAACACAGCCGATTCGCATCATTCAGACCCATCATGAGCAGGGAAGCAGATCGACTCTGATCATTCCCAGCTATGAAAGTTATTCAGCCGCGGAATGGCCCTCGAGGGGTCCGTCCGCTCCCTGCTGGGCCAATGCTCACATTCCGGTGTAGTTCCGAGTGTCGAGACTGCTTTATATGAGATCGCAACGCGCGCCGTCGATCTTCCGAATATTGTGGAGCCTTCTGCTCCGCAGGGCCGGAGACTCTCCTGATCGAACTTGCTACCGGATCTCCTTCTCGACTTCCCTGCTCTTCAGATGCAATGCTTTTACCGAGGGCTCGGCCGCCGCGACCGGAGATTCAATCCAGGCGCGTGGATCTGGGCTCATTCGCTGCTCGGTTTCGATAACGAGATGCGTTCTGCTGCGAGAATGGCAAACGGAGAGTATCACCAGGTGTTACACCGATCTATCAAAAAAAAGTGCACACGACTGCAAAAGCAGTCCGGTATAAAGCAACGTCAGCCCAGCGTATCTCGAGTCAGGCGGGCATGATCATCCTTATCGCACCGACAACACGGGTGACACTCCGTCCTTCAGAAGAATCGACTTGTTTCTGAATAGTCAACGAACGACGCGAAAACGAACAGCTCCAATGTCGACGCCGGAATCACGTACGATAATTTTCGCGCGGATTCCAAGTATTCGAGACTAGCGGCCTCTAGCACCGAGCACGCCGCACCGGGTCGTAGACGCGTCTTCGGTCTCGACTCACGGGTTTTCCCGACTTTGATGTCGGCAGGTGTCGATATGACGAATGCTTCGAGCTCACGTGGACCGCCAAATCGGAGCTCCGTGTTAAGCTTGAATCTCATCTCCCGATTTCCGCGCAAGATCCTCATTCAATGAGGATTCCTGACGATTTTCTAATGGACGTGTGCGAGAGGGATATCTGCGATGTGCACGGAGCCCGAGCGAAGATCTCCTCCTAATCTTCTTTTGATCTCGAATATACTACGGATATTTTTAAGAATCAGTCGGAAGTAATATTCTGATTATCTATGTAAGTCTTCTATCGGGTTTGGGGATTCAGTGTTGGTCGTCGTGTGAAATGATTGAATTCCTCCCTTTCGATCCCCTCTTCCGTTGGAGGTCTTCTCCGCAGCTGAATTAAGCAGACCTCGAATATCAGTCACCCGACGGAGGTACGGATATGAGATTTCGAACGCGATATATATGTATGCGACATCCTAGTATCTCGATCGACATACTCTACCGAACTCACGCTCGGAGTGAGATATGAATCTCTTGTTGGTCACACGGGACCTGATCGGATCGAACCCAATTCGCCTCGCAATGGAATGAAAATCGCAGTTCTGCACGGTGACCCAATCTGGCCGTCGCCGCTGTCGAATTCCGATCGTGCTGTGACGTAGCTCCGTTTCTCTGGGAATTCGATGAGCATCATGTCGAGTCTTTTCCACCCTTCATGATTCCAGCCGCAGATCTTCCTATTCAGCTGTTCCCATATGTTCATATCTGTCCTTATCGTCTCTTCCATGAGGCAAGGTCGGTTCTCGGTCCTGACATCGTCCAGCTGTCACACAATTTGTCTTCTGACTCGGCGTTTCTCTGAACATTCGAATGAGGAACATTCCATCTTGGTCGCGCGCTCAAACCAAGCTCTGCCCCTGATCGCGAGGGAAATCGCTGTGAATCGAGAGCCGTCTTTCTGAATCGTTTCGCGAAGATCGCACGATTCATTTGAGTCGATGCTCTCCAAAACCTTCCATGGCGGCGTTTGTCCATTCGTTCGCTCTGACTGAGCTGAATCCAAGCGATGCCGTCTGCATCGAAGTCGTTCAAGAACTTCTGAGGAAGAGCTGGAGGATGTCGCCTGCTCTAGCGAATACTCTTCCAGCCTACCCATCACCATAACCACGCCCGGAAGACATAACCTCAGTCCTCTTGAAGCTACGGATCTCGTCCGAGGACTGTCTTGCTTGTACGATGGACGAGCATCAGATTCCGGCCACTATGTGGGAAGCTTCGCAGTTTAATCGATGGGGACTCGATGTCTTCAATGAATTGTGTCGCCCACACGACGCGACGGATTGTAGTCGCGAAAACGAATCGGATCAAATCAGCTTTGATTAAATTCCGATCGTGTCTCGTGCTGTAGATTGAAGAGAGAACTTCCTCCAGATACATGGGCGTTTTGCGACAGAACCGTGAATCCTTCTTATTCGATAATTTGAAACATTCGTGCATAATTATGCGTAAATATTTTCAAGAGCTTGGTCCATAATACGTTGTCTCTTTCTTGCGTTTGATGCCTAGTCTTGATGATGAGAGATGTGACACCCAAACTTTTTTATAATCTCTCAGAAATCGCAGACGCAGCCCGCAGAAATTCGAAGAACAAGGTGTCTGGTCCGGGCATTAGCGTTGATCTTATCCCTGTCGAGTCTACACACAGGTCCGGTGTGGAGCGACCAGCGAGGGGTGTGGGCGGCTTCCTTCTGAGTGTCTGTGCCGAAATCGCAACACTCCGTGACCTTTCCCGATACATCATGCGAACTCATTCTCGAATTTCTCGAGTCTCACTGATGGTCCTATGATCTGATGCACAACCGTGCACGACCTTGCACAGCGTGGAAGCGCTACAATCCTCAAGGGCAGACTCTCTGCGAGAGAGTCGCGACAAATAAATTTGAATGTAGACCTTGGATAGATTGCTCAATATGGAGCAACAGAATTGTCCGCCTCTTTCGTCGTTAAGTCCTAACATGCTGACTGCGACACCCAACAGCCCCGGCAAGGAGGCGCAGTCGAGGATGAGCTATGTGGTAGGAGCATAGGGTCCTCCCGAGGAGCTCAAACCGCCTTCAGGCGTTCCGCAGATCACACCTAGATCACGACGGTTCACCGATCGCACAGTCCACTTATGATCCGGGTCTTATCCTGATGTGGCCTTGGTGTGATCCCGGCGAGCTTCACCGAGATTTCGTGCGATCCGTCGTAACCAAGGTGGGTGAGGTCCCTGAGTGATTCGCCGCGTTAGTGGTGCGAGCCATGCGGGAAAAAAACATAGCTATTTTTTCACACAATCCCGAGTCCACACTGCCCACCACAGTCCCATTGCGTCATGGATGGGGGCCCCGTCTTTTCATCATTCAATTTGGAATAATAGAGCTCGCAGTTTTTTTCCAGAGCCAGATAGGAACTTGGGTGCCGAGGGACCTAAAAATTGACTGATTCCGTCCCCCATAGGTAGGGCTACAGGCAAAGATGATCGTAATCATTGTTCTGTAAATTTTCGTCTGCCTACCATGGACCCATGACGTCACGAGAGTCTGTCTCACTCAGCCAATAGTCGGGTCTCAGCTGATAGCCGACGGTACATTCCAACCCTCTCGGGTTCAGGCCGCAGAAACAAATCTCATTTCTACGATTTTTCCTCGATCTTGTAAGGATTCGAGTGGCAGAAACGGATGCACCGAGACCCTGTTCTTGATCTCTGAGGACAGGAAACACTATCAGGGACCAAGAGGCCGCCGGCAGCAGGCGCTTAGCAGAACGCAGGCGTTATCTACGTAGAATCGAACCTTACAGGAGCTGCCGTTATCCTGGTTATTCCGTTCTGAGCTTTGGTAAGCGGTGGAGACGTGTCGCGTTGAAAGTTAGATTTTTCGAGGAAAATTCACTCCTCCAGGCGTACCAGTCAGTGGTTCCTGCCTTGTCGGTGGCCAGTCATTTTACGAATCGAAATTCGTATGTTGTGGCTCGAAATTGTCAAAAGTCAACTTTTTAAATGGCAATGTGGGAGCAGTGCGGATGTCTATAACCTGCTTTTCGCCGACTGTGCACGTCGCATGCGGTCGGTCGTCGCCTAACTAAAAGCGATACATGATAACATTTTTTCTTGGGCTGCAAGCTCTGAGTCTGATAATAATTTCGTTTTTCAGCTCCGATACGAGTATTGGATCGTAACGATCTACCGGACCGACTTTTGGGACAGTGCGGTACGTATGAAGTTGGGGCACTTCCAGATTTTCGAAACTGAGACGTCACGCCATGCGAGGAGCCCGAGCCGGGTCCACTCGTATGAATTCTGGGGAACATTTCGGTCGAGTTGTCGAAAGAGTTGTCTCCGTGAGCACCATCTTCCGCGAGAGAAAGACCTGGTCGAATCGCGATTGATGCGAAGTTTGAACTTCGCTGATTGCAAGTCACGCTAGTTCGATATCATCAAGCTACCGGATCGAGTTTATTTGACCCACCATGGGCGAATTCCGGAGCTGCACGTGTGCGGGGCTTCCGGCGAAAGCAGCATGTTTGTAGAGGATTTAGTGTTTCGCACAGCTGTTTGATGGCGGAGAGCTCGAGACGTGGGTCCCGGTCGAAACCTCGTGTCGACTAAACCCAGAGTGGGAATCTGAGCGATTTGCGCGTTCGTAGTTTGACTGTGATACTCGAAGAAATCGAATCGGGGACGAAATCGCGGGAGCAGCTTGCGGACGGCATGTAGCGAGGAACGCGGCAGACACTCTGTTTCTTTGAGTTTGACACGTCGGCAGCTCCGGCGATGTCGTCGACGATACCAGCGTGGACGCTTGTGTGGATGCGTTGAACCTAATCTCTGCTAAGAATTCCCGTGCGCCGAATCTTTTCCGAAACGCTCATTCAGCGGAATGGTTTCGTTGTTAGTTTCGATATTTTGTTCTGATGTGAGATGTTTGGAGCGTGTTGAATGGAGCGGTTTCCGAAGAATGTTTCGGAGGTTCCGCTCCGGCTGAACAAGATATACAAAAGGTGCGGAAATCGATCGAGAGCAGGAGACCGAGCGGAATCCTCGTAATCGCGAGCTAACGAGCGAGAGTGAGTGCCGTATATGAGGTGTTCGGCGAGTGGTGAGGAATCAGTTTTTGATGCGAAGTTTCTAACTCTGCAGCTAGCGCTCTGTGACTGACCGTGAACGGCCCTTCTGCAATGGATTCCAACGACTTCGAGTCCCTTACGATTAGCCCTGAAATCCAGACCGGACCGGATATGGACACTAATGGTACGACTTCGAACGGCACTGAAAATGGAGGAAACGGGTGCTACGATGAACTCTTCCCTGCTCTACCCGGAGGCCTCGGTGCGGCGGCTCCTGTGGTTAACGGCAAAGTCGGCTCGTGGGGATTGACGGGCAGTAAAAGCGTGCCCGCTGTACGAGCTATCAACAAGACGGAATTTTTCGTGATTTCATCTGAGGAGCGTCGACACAAGGATTTACCTTCTTCTTCGAAATTCGGAGGTTTGTGCGCTTATTCTGATTCCCTTAGAGACTCTGAATGAAAGTCGACGGTGGAACTCTGAGAAATTTTTAGGGGGCAGACGTTGTGCAGGCGATTTCTCTGGTCGATATTTCACGCTCGACCGACGAGGAGCAAGTCCTCATGACTGCTGAGATAGATATTGAATTATTCAAGTACATGATTCGGATGTTTTGAATCCACGATCGAAGGATGGGTCAAGTCCACAACGCGAGATCTGATCGTAGTTTGAATAAGGAGAAAGCCTGAGTGAGATGCAGCGTGCGGACCTTGGAATCGGAGTGAGCGAGCGTAGTATCGATTGAACCCCGTGAGACACCGAAATCATACAGTCGTGGAAAACGGAGTTTTTTTTGGATTCCTGCCGTTTGGACGTCCACATCTCCGGCTAGTGATCCACGTCGTGAGGAATGGTATCGCGAATCGTATGGAAGTCGTGAGGAAATGATTTTTGCGGAAGTATCGGGAATCAGATGCTCCCGAATCTTATTCTGAACCCTGCATGCTTCCGAATCGCACACCAAAAACTTTGCCATTCCTTTCCGCGAGATTTCGCGCGACATTCGAGCGAAAACCCTAGTCAGAAGCCATCGCGGAGTAAAACATGTGGAGTTTTGATTAGCTCACCGAGGGAGTCCGATTTCTTCATAGTGGTATTCGGGACCAATTCGAGTTGCGTATCGACGCAGATCCAAGGCCCGGGTAATGATCGATGGGGCTCGGTGGCGCCCTTGGACTCGTTTCCCGAGCAATACCCCTCGACCTAATCCGATGACTTCCCCAGGTTCAAGCGATTGTGATCAAGCCTCTGAACGCGAACGAAATATCGTCTACAAGATCGGAACTCAAACCCAGACATCTGTTGAGCTCACTACTTCGAAAACGGATGGCGTGCTCACTGTCGTCATCAATGGAAAAGCTGATAGGTTCGTTCATAGATACTTCTCGAAATCATATCCCCCGGGCGGGACATTGGAATGCCCTTACAACATCGAATCATAGAGAACTACCCCCTTTGTGGAGCGGTTCGGTGAAGTAGTCCCGAAATCCGGATTCATTGATGATCGAAATCCGATTACTCCGATGAGATGGTGCGATGATCCGTTGGTCCAAATGTGGGACCGGGTCGGTTGATGATTATCAGAATGAATTTATTCCAAATCGCAGGGTGGCGGAAGCGAAGAAGAGCATCATGGCCCAGCTGATCCGCGAAGCGCAAGCCGATCTCTTGATTCCGAAGGATCACCATCGACACATTCTTGGAGTGAAAGCTGCCAAGCTCAAGCAACTCGAAACGGTGAGTAGAGTGCTCACCGTCAAGAACGCATCATCCTTGTCGCAGGGTTGACATCATCAATTATGTTCAATCGAGAGATCCCGCCTTGGCATCGCATGAAGAAGCTTCCCGCCACTAGAATCAATTCCCGAAAATCGAAATAAATTCCAGGAAACTGGTACCAAGATCAGCGTTCCCCGACACGAAGATGATTCTGAGGTCATCTCCATCAAAGGACCGAAAGAAGGCATCGCTGCGGCGGCTCACAAGTAAGTCAGGACATCGATCTGAGCCCGGGACCCTTTAGGAGAAATCCGTCTCGAATCGGTCGCTAAGCATGTACCGCCTCCACTTCAGGATCCAAACTTTGTCTGATGAGTTGGCCAAGAACGATCGCGAAGTTATTGAAGTTGAGAAGAAATATCATGTCTTCATCATGGGACCAAGCAACAAAAATGTTGAGAGCATCAGACAGCAGACCGGAGCTAGAATCAGAATCCCGCCTCTGAGCTCCAAGGAGGACACTTTGATTGTGATCACCGGCGAGAAAGAAGGGGTGGCCGAAGCCAAGAAAGCGATCGCCCAGATCTACGAGGAGTGTAAAACAAACATCAAGGATACATCGATGCAGGTTCGTGGTGGAACTCTCGCTGGTGACTAAGATACGGAGTTCGGGCCCGGATGTTCCCACAAGTGGCCGAGGGCGGAACCGTGAGATGTGGACTTGTATCTTGATCGAATTATTCGTTTACTAGGTGCCCAAGGATCAGCACAAGTATATCCTTGGTCGCGGAGGTCAGACCCTGCAGGACATGTTCGAGAAAACAGGCGTCTGGATTGAGGTTAGTTTCCCTTCCGCTATGGGAGGCGATCCAGGAATTTCCGCCTTTCTCTGATTCGCCCAGTTGAGCTACTCGTCTCTCCTTCCGACTTACTCGTCTTATCATCTTCCTTCATTTCTCCCATTATACCTCTTCTACCTCGTGTATACCCACCATGGTTTAGATGCGGGAGTTCATTTTCAGTGTTCCTGTTTAGATAGTAAACACACAGTACGTGAGTCCAAACTGTTACGAACAGGGCGTTCGTCGGCAGCTCCCAAAGCTTCGGAGAAAACTAACCTAGACAGGAATTTTTATTTTCTCTTCTCCTTCTGTTTCTCCTCCGGACCCGGTGCATCCCACCAGGGACAGAGGAACCGCTCTCCTCATTGTAAAATAATAATTTTAGGTGCCTCCGCAAGACGTCGATTCGGACACCATCAAGCTCCTGGGTGAGCCCGGGAAATTGGGACAAGCTCTGTCTCTCGTCTACGAGAAAGCCAATAGCATGACTAAAGCTGAAATGAGCGCTCCTTCATGGCTTCACAAATATTTGATCGGAAAGAAAGGCGAGAACATCAATCGTATCCGCGAGAACTTCAAGGATGTCTACGTCGAGTTTGTCGACAACACGATCCGTATCGAAGGACCAAGGGAATCAGTTCAGAGCGTAAGTATCGATTCCTGTCGCGATAAATCACCAGTCGATCGCCCTACACAGCTCGGCTCCCTGCTCATAAACCGACTCGGAGAGAAATAGATACTGAGCGAGTGTTCTGTTTGGGATCAGGTTCGTGGACTCCTGCAGTCGGAAATCGATCAGATCACGTCTCAAACGACTTGCACTGAAATCATTGCCCCGGCCTCGTACCACCCTCACATCATCGGCAAGAACGGAGCCAATGTCAACCGACTGAAGCAGGAACTCAATGTGAAAATCCACATTCCTGCTGCGAACGACGGCAACGCCGAAGTGATCACCATCGAAGGCGAACCGAACGATGTCGCAAAAGCCAAGAAAGAACTCGAAGAGATGGTCAAGAAACTGCGTAACGAGACCGTCAAGGAACTCAAATGCGAGAGCCGGCTCCACGGCCAGATCATCGGGCCCGGTGGAGAGAAAATAAACGAGCTCCGGAACAAGTTCAACCAGGTCAGCATTTCGGTGCCTTCGGCCTCCAAGAATTCCGACATTATCACCATTCGTGGTGATAAGCGCGACGTTGAAGAATGCCACAAATCGCTTTCCGGAATGATCAAGGAACTCCAGCGGACGAACTACAAGGTCGACGTGAACCTCTTCAAACAGTTTGTCCGTTATCTCCAAAATCCGAAAGGCCGCACAATTCTACAAACGATTCAGAAGGACACAACGGCCAAAATTTCTCTTCCAAAAGACGGCTCCGCAGAACTCGTGAGCATCGTCGGCGAGAAAGACAAAGTCGAGAAAGCCAAAATGCTGCTCCTCGATGCCCAGAGGAAGAACTCCGACATCGTCGAGAAAGAGATCCTCATCCCCAACAAGATTCACGGCGCTCTCCTGCGTTTCAAGCGTGCCCTCCTGAACTCGATCCTCGAGGACGCCGGCTGTGCTGCGTCCGAGGTTGACGTCGAGTTCCCACCCAGCGGGAAAAACTCGGATCGCTGCATCATCTCAGGTCCGAAAGACATGGTCGAGAAAGCCAAGGCGCGTCTTCTCGAAGAGGCCAACGAACGCGCGCTCGCCAGCTACAGCGAGGAAGTCAAGGCGAAGCCGCAGTACATGAAATACCTCATCGGACGCAAGGGCGCCAACATTCACAAACTCCGTGAAAAAACAACCGCCAGAGTTATTTTCCCCGCGGAGGACAGCGAGGACCGGGAGACCATCGTGATTATTGGTCGGGAGCAAGCCGTCAAAGTAAGTTCGGCTACGACGGCGTCTCGCATCAGCTAGCCCAATGGAAATTTGTTTGACTACGAGGAGCAGTACGAATTTCCGGGAAAATATTCTAACTCGTCTTGTCCGTTCAGGCGGCTCGCAAGGAGCTCGAAGCAATGATCGCTGCTCTTGAAAACGACACTGAGGATACCGTCCAGATCCCCGCAAAACACCACAAGCACTTCGTGGCAAGACGAGGTGAAGTCCTCGAGATCGTCGCCGAGGAATTCGGGGGAGTGCAGGTGAGTCGAGACTTCCTGAATAGGCGAGGGGTCTCCCCCCGGCGAGCTGATTCCAAAGCCCCGATTTCGCCGTCGAGGTCCACCCGTAAAGCTTTCCTTGCGATTTCCAGGTGAGCTTCCCCAAGAGCGGGAGCGGATCCGACACCGTTACGATTAAGGGTGCTAAGGAATTCGTCGCTGGTGCCAAACAGAATCTGCTTGATAGGGTCAAGGAGCTAGACAGTCAGGTCACCATCAACTGCTGCATTCCTCAAGTTCACCACCGTTCCGTCATGGGACCTAAGGGTGTGAAGGTGCAGGCTATCACGAAGGAGTTCAGCGTTCAAATCAAATTCCCAGACCGCCAACAGAACGGCGATGAACCCGCCGAGGAGAACACGGGAGACGAGAACGATGTCCGAAACATTATCACCATCACTGGTCTCAAGGAACGTTGTGAAGCCGCCAAACAAGCTCTTGAGAACCTTATTCCGATCTCGATCGATGTGCCCGTCGACGCCAAACTCCACCGATACATCATCGGTCAGAAGGGCAAAGACGTTCGCGAGCTTATGGACAAGTACGACGTCAACATTAAAGTGCCGCAGGCCGGTGAGAACGTCGACTTCGTGAAAGTGTCCGGCGCGCCGCATAGAGTGGCCAGCTGCCGTGAGGAACTCGAGGAAAGGATCAAGAAGCTAGAGGAAGACGAGCAGGATCGTAAGCTGAAGTCGTTCTCTTTGACTATCGATGTTCCTGCGAAACACCACCCCAAGATTGTCGGACGCAAAGGAGCCGTGGTCACTAAACTCCGCGAGAAATACCAAGTTCAAATTCAGTTCCCAAGCAAGACCTCCGATGGTGAAGCTTCGTCCTCGACGACAATCACCGTCACAGGCTACGAGCAGAACGCTTACGCAGCCCGTGACGAAATCCTCACCATGGTGCAAGAACTCGACGAAATGATTACCAAGACCATCAAGCTTGATCACAGGTATGCGGGCCGGGCTTCGAGAATATCCAGAACTGATTCTTAGGAGATCTGATTCTCTGATTCCGACTAGGCTCAATTCTCTAATTCCTCAGCAGCCCTATATGTCAAACCGAATATTTTTCCCTCCGCTACAGAACCCATTCTCGGATCATTGGACAGAGAGGTCGTCGCGTCCGCAAGATCATGGACGACTTCAAAGTGGAGATTAAGTTCCCTCGTCCAGACGCCTCTGATCCCGATCTTGTTGAAGTCGTTGGTGAGTTCAATTTCTTTTCTCCGTTCTGTCAGTCTGAAGCGGAAACCTCCCCCCCCCCCCGCCCGAAGTGTTTCGAAGGGCTGCCAGGCTCCGGCCCTTCGAGAAAAAAACTGAATTTGAAGCTCGCGGTACCAGCATGAGCCGATATTTCGGGACTTCGTACTGACAAACGTCTCGTTTCTCCCCAAAGGTATGGAAGACAATGTTGAGGACGCCATCCAGTATCTCAAGGATCAAGAAGATGAACTGATGGAGTCGGTCTCCGACGAAAGTCTCTACCAGAGACCTAGACAAGATACCCTCAACAACATTTTCCAGGCTCGTCAAGGAGGAGCTGGTGGTCGTCAGGGTTTCGTGGTTCAGGGCGCTCCTTGGTCTCAATCGTCATCGCAAAACGTTCCGGATTCGGAGAGCCAATCCGACTTCCCATCGTTCGGAGGCCGCCCCTCGAACGGGTCCGGCGTAGCATGGGGACCCCGCCGTTGAGTCTGATCGCATCTTCCATTAAAGAAAGCCTATGTGATCGGGTCAAAGTGGTAAAATTCATGACAGAGGCAAGAGCCGTTCATAGGGGAAGAGGGCGGGGGAATTGGTAGGATCCTAGGTAGATCTCGGGTAGAACAATACGGATCATGCATGTGCATTGGTTGTGTCATGTTTCGGCATGTCGACTTCTGGCACTCATATCACAGAGCGGCTATATGGAAAAGTTTTATTCTCTAATTTCGATCGTGTGAGGGTTTCATCGAGCGAGTGGCTCAGACAGATCTTCTCCTACGGAGTCGCCTATCGTGCTTCTATTCCTCGTCTATCGATGTTCACACGATCGCTTTCCTTCCGACCTACCTTAAGTGTCCATCTAAAAACGTTTCCCCGATCACGTTCGTTCTTCCCTTCAGAATACCCATAGCAAATCTCCTCTTCCGTTCTCGATTCCGTAGCAATATTTTCCCTGAATGTCGAGACGTCTAAATATTAATCATTGAACTCTCTAACCTAACGGACCTTATGACGGAGCAGCCCCGCTCCCCGTGGGGAGAAAAGCTCGAGGGAGTTCGGTGCAGGTTCAGGGCGCAAGCCAGGTGCAACAGGTATCCCATCCCATTTTATATATATTTTTCGGGTTGTTTTGTGACGACTGAATGTCCGATCTGCCTCGTAAAGGGTGCGTTCGAAATGATGTGATGGTACATCAAGACTAACGTCAAAACTGCGTGCGAGGCAGGAGCAGCTGATTTGACGATGAAGTAGAGAGAGAAGCTGAAGAAGAGCGAAAGATAAGGAGAGACTCGCCCCCGACCGGTCTTCCTTGCTGAGAGGGCTATGCAAAGGCGCTACCGCAAGCATTAACACTTATGCAAATTTTAGGTCATTGAGATAATGATTAAGACGGAGATGATGGTTTTAACCCAGTCACGTCCACTTCGGGTCTGTTTCTCGCCTCACGAAGTTTCCCTCCTCCCGTTCTACGACACCCTCTTGTCCCGTCCCAAGCTATGCTATCTTATCCAGTTGTCGCCTTCGAAACGATTCGTCGGTATTTCGTGTTTTCAATCAGTTAATTTAAGCAAACACTTTCCTCAACGACGAGAAGAATCAATTGGCAGAGAGAAATCGTTCTCCATTTCCCTCCGAGACATTTGCTTTTCGAGTCAGCGAATGCCTTCTGTGGGGCTCGCCTATCGGAGGAGAAGAAGTGGACGACGAATAACACATTCACCACCATCCTGTAATATTGCTACTAAGACCAGTACTCTTCAATGGTACTGCGGGTTATGCTGCTCCATTCTTTACGATAACTAGGGAAATATGATGATGAAGATCTTGTCGAGATCTTGGCGCCACTTTTTCATTAAAACGAAAAAAAGCGACCCTGACTGGAAGAACGCAAACATGCTGCTGTTGCTGCTCATTAAGATATTCACTATGGAAAAAGGCAAGCTGGATTGTTGCCGATCGATTCCGTCTCTTTTATGAGCACCCTGGCGTGCAGGCGGACGGGCCGAACAAGCTTCGGTGAATAAACTTTTTTAAAATACCCTTCCTCCTTGATTTCCTTCTGTGTTGATTTTCCTCACCCATACCCTCAACAGCACCCAGTGTACGTTTCTAAATCGTTGTGTTCGCCTACATCGATCATTTATCCGCTAGCCCGATTTTACTCTTTCGGCGATGCTTCGAGCCTTTAATATGTCAGCTGCCCGATCAGATTTTTTATTCCGCTCTGTATAATCCGATAGTTCTCGCTGTTTCACGCTGCCTCCGTGATTATCTCACCGCTAGGATCCCCTCTTTGTGGCGCTTCATGGAGTTATGAAACTCTCTCCATACTCATGTACTGAACCCCGCTCCTAGGAGCAGTTCGTCTCACACACGCCGTGAGGGGAGAATAGAGCCTACGATGAGGGGAAGATTGAGGTAACCCCAATTTCCCTCTAAAATGGAGAGGAATCAGTCACGCCGAATCGTTGGGGTTTCTTCGATGAGGAGTCACTCCGTGCGATTCGAATCCCAGATCGATCGATCACTTCAACCCGACGCAGGATAGCCGTGAGAACTCCGTGATCAAGCTAGGTAGCTCGGGGCTTTCTGCTCGCGAACGATGTATTATACTTACGCACAAACTCGGAGAGCGTGGAATCGAAGAGAGCTGATTGTAATCGTCGATAGTATTATCGCTTCGGTCATCGAATAAGCTGGAATCGTTCGGAAACTGACGCTGTACTGGCTCGGACGAATCTCACGAAAGTTTGATGGAACGACTTCGGGCAATCAGGCGCCTTCAGAAGCATGGGCATCTGCATCGATGCGATCGTCCATGCATGCAGACAGAGTGTTCCCTATCGGGAATGGAATGGTAGGGGAACTCGAGAATGGAGAGAAAATTTCGGCTTGAGAATATATACATCACGATTGTGGACGTTGAATGGAGGAATGTTCGCGGATGAGCTTCTCCGAGAGGAACCTTTTAGGCTGCCTTGTGGAGGTATCTTGCATTGAGGGCCGGCAATGAGCATCGATCCTGGTATCCCGTTGCGTATGATCCTCCTTGGGCTACATTCTTCTGGTTCAAAGATGAGAAAGACGCGAGCGTCGCTATCCCCGCGCGGCTAAGAGCTTCCACATGCCGACCTCGAGCCTGCTTCCGAACATGTGATAGGAAAGCCTCCCAGGAAGGGGCAAGCTCGCATCGTCCACATCGAGCTTGATTTCATCCTTCCGCTAGATATACGACCCGAGTCGATAATAAAGGAATGATACTGCGGTAAGAGAGCCGTGGGTGACTTCTTGTTTGAAAAAATCCAGATCATCTTATCCAACTTCTGAACCACCGAAAAAAATAATGGACCGGAACGCGGAGCTGATTCTCTCAGTTCTCCTCGGAAACGTTCCGCGGGGAGCGGGGAGGCCAGATGCGCCCCGGGTATCACGGTTAAAAAAAAAGTGCCGACAAGCCTCAAAGAAGGAAAGTTTTGACTGATTGAGTTGGGCTCAATCGAAGAATTCCTGGAAATGACGATTGGAAGCGAGAGGTATGAAGGAGGTTTGTAGGATAAGTCCGAAGGTTTCGGCACCGGGACCGAGGACGTCCGCCTCGGCCATCAGAGAGGCACGGAACGCCTTTGCTTCTCCTTAGAAGATGCTGAGTCTGACAAACTTATGTTACTCTTCGGTTGAATGCCATGAGATTTCGTATCTGAGGGGGTCGAAGGAGTATTCCCACTGACATCGCTCAGAGCCAGGATATCGCACGGATATAAATCATCGGGGGATGTCGAGAAGAAAATGGGAGGAACTTTCGGCTGAGACTTCGGGCACCTCTCGAATTTGGCCCGAGTGTCTCTGGGAAGCTTTCCCGCCTCATTTCAAATCTGACAGCTCCGACGAGCGACGGTATTCCCTCTTCTTGAGCCCCAAGTTTTTCTCCGAGAAAGCGACCAGATGAAGGGATCGGGTTCCCTGGTCACTCACGGTGCAAGCTAGAGCGAAACACTGGACTTCTCCACCGAGACCGCATCTCTGTTTCTGTTTCACCATATTGTATTATTATTGGCTTGACGAGGAAGAGGAAGCCGAGAACGACCCCTAGCGGTTCGGAAGCGAACTATCGGGGGTTAATTTCTCCCTGGAAATAGGATTCTAGCGGAACTCGCAGAGAAATCCGCTTCTCCCCTCACTCAGGAAATCCTCGCAGAGCATTCTCTCGATTGAATGACCCGACATCGGCATGACATCGGATTGAGCACTACTTCTGGGGCGCTGTCAAATTTCAAAGTTTGGCGCTCGAAAGCTGCGTGACGTCATGATTTGCTACGTCAGTGTCTGTGATCTTGAGGAGCTGCAGAGCAGGTAGTCTCCGAGTGTCAGCTAGAAAGTGACGACTATCCCACACAGCGCGAAGTGAATCGTTCCCAGCGAGGTCTCGACTTCTTGCTCCTGCGTGAATTCTCCTGACAGGAGACTAAAAAGAGACGGCGCCATGGCGCAAACGCTCCCGATCAAATTCCAGGAGCATCTGCAGGTCAGTGCTGCTCGAGTCATTTCCCTAGGCCTAACGGGGTACCGGTGCTTTGAGGACACTGCTTGTCCGAGTGACCATCGCAGCTTCCAGGATGTATTCCTTTATCTTTGCGGCTCGGGCGTAGCATTCGCGAACTTTCTGTGGAACAGATGACGCCATTTACCACGTCAGAGCCGTTCGAAATGGGTTGTGCCGACAACACGTTCGGCAGCGATATGTGGATGATGACACGCAAGTCACAACACAGCTCGTTCTACGGCTTTCCGGATGGATCGCAGGAGCTGTGTCTCAATACTTTCTGTGCGAAATGTCCCGGAAAGATGATTCATCCCGATCCACTCATCGTGCGAACTCATGTGACGGGATTTGCCGCAGAGGGGCCAAGCGGAAATTTGGAGGCTGAATCGACATTGAACTGACGATTGCTAATCTCGGCGGATTCTGAGTTTTTGCGCGGCGATTCACAGCTCAGAATATTGGAACGGCTCCCGTACAACACTTGGTTTCATGGCGTCAATGCGGGAGTATTTACTAGGGAGATCTCTGGTCGCTGACAGTCGAGAAAATTCAAATCTCCGATCGGGAATGATTGGAATGGAAGCTCGTCCGGGACCGCGTCGGACGGTGTCTCGCGTAGCACAACGCGGGTGTTTAGATTGAAACTATCGTCTTGGCATTCAGCTGGCCGGATGATGGAGACGCCCATTCTAAGCGTTAGTCATTTACGTACGGCTCCTCGGGGAACGCGATTCGATTCGGCCGACGTTCGAAAATACATCATAGCCGAGCATAGGACGTCTGAGCAAACGTGAACGCTTAAGTTTCTCGTGTTGATCCCTGACGTGTTCACTGGGTCCGGGAGATGGACCGATCTCTCATACGGTCGAGTTGGCTCAAGTTGGCGCGATTCCATATGGAGAGACTTCAGATACCCGCAGGGCTCTCAGATGACTTAGGAACACCTCCCGATACCTCTCTTATGCGGCGGGAGAATGAATGCCCGCGACGTTCACCAAAGTCCAAGGAAATACGGGACAAAAATACGACCATTCCCGCTTTTCCATGGCCTTTTCTTCGTATTCCCTAATCCGACCGTTCGGTCGAGGGGCGAATGCCACAAGCTTTGACGTCAATGAACGTTATGGAATCGGAGCGCACCGCTATTATAGGCGTCTCTCACCGGTCTGACATCCGCGAGCTTCCCCCACGAGAACCCGAATCGATGGCATTTACCCCGTTCTCCCTCGACATTTCCCCTGCTGATGAGAGATCGACTCTTCTAGCTCGCGAGTCTTCACTGAAACAAGCATTCCCGTCGTTTCATGACTTGTTTCCGGCCTGACGACGTCAAAATCGACATGTATTCGTACTATGGCTCCGTTCGTGAGGAGTCCCTTTGGCGGCGATGAGGCAGACGGATGCAGTGACAAGCCGGCCGGCCGATCCGCCGTCTCCAGATGAACTGTGTCTTATTGACACGATTATTGTGTGTTTCCGTTGCCGGGTCAGCTAGGAACGAGAGATGACTACAGGCCTCGATCGAAGCTCTCCCGATTTTTTTTTCTTTCGAATTTGAGTCGAGATCTTAGCGTCCAGGTCATTTCAATAGCCGAGCCTGGATTTCGAGAAATCTCCCATGATTAGAACTCGGAGGGATGAATCCCCGATTCTCTATAACTCGGGACGAGTCTGGTCAGCTGCGAATGTTACTGTTCAATGATGCGGGGGAGTTGCAGCGGAGTAACTCGAGACGTGGCGTGTTCGTGCCACGCTCCTTTTAGATTTCGTTTCCGAGCCGTTGTTCTCATCCGTGTTGAGTCTGGCCCGAAACGCATTGCTGCTACCATTAAGCTTGATCCGAGAGACCGCAATCTCAAGTGCAGATCATCCAAAACGTTCATAGATATGACTCGGATTTACATTTCGTGGGAGTTTTGGAGGGATAAAGTCGAATATCGGGTTCTTGGATCAAGATGACACACCTCTAGGGCCAGGGAGTTCGGAGAACCAACAAAAAACCCGATGATTATATAAGGGCAACATGAGTTCCGAAGAAGTTTCTTTCATTCATATTATTCCTCATCCAACAGCTCACATCGGTCGGCATCAATGCGGCGACCATCGGATTCAACACCCTCACGATGGAGTCTGATAAGTATATCTGTGTTCGTGAGAAAATCGGCGACTCCAACCACGTAGTCATCATTGATATGGCAACCCCACAGCAGCCCATTCGGAGACCAATATCAGCTGACTCCGCAATAATGAATCCAGCATCCAAGGTAGAAGAGAAATGAGCTCGCGCGGAATTTTCCTCCTATGCAAGGCCCCGCACCCTCGTAGTCGAGAGTGCTCTCTGACCCCATGATTCATCATTTCTTTCCCTCAGGTGATCGCCCTCAAGGCGAACAGAACGCTACAGATCTTCAACATCGAAATGAAGTCAAAAATGAAGGTAATGACGAGACCTTGATCAATAATGATCATCATGCGATCGAGGGCTTGATTTGATTTTGCCGGCCGACGAAACTAACAGCTACACTCCCCGCAGGCACACGCGATGTCGGAAGACGTGGTGTTCTGGAAATGGATAAACCTGAACACCTTGGCGCTGGTAACGGAAAGTGCGGTGTATCACTGGTCGATGGAAGGCGATTCTCAACCTGTCAAGATGTTCGATCGGCATTCTTCCTTGGCGAGTTGTCAAATCATCAACTATCGAACCGACCATAAACTTCAATGGCTGCTGCTGGTTGGCATCTCAGCTCAGCAGAACCGTGTTGTCGGAGCCATGCAACTCTATTCCATGGAGCGCAAGGTACTTCCCCACAGTATATACTACTCCAGGCTTGGATCGGGGAGGACAAGAAGAATCGAATTGAATTTTCCTCTGCAACAGAAATCCCGAGCATCGATATAACTCAGAATCGAATTTTTCTCTCCCTGACAGGTATCTCAGCCCATCGAGGGGCACGCCGCAGCATTCGCTCAGCTCGAAGTCGAAGGGAACTCTCAGCCCTCGACGATCTTCTGCTTTGCTGTCAGGACCCAGGCAGGCGGGAAACTCCATTTGGTTGAAGTGGGAACCCCTGCTCCCGGAAACCAACCTTTCTCGAAGAAGGGAATCGATGTATTCTTCCCGCCCGAAGCTCAGAGCGACTTCCCGGTGGCGATGCAAGTCTCGCCCCGGCACGATGTCGTCTATTTGATCACTAAGTACGGCTACGTCCATCTGTACGACCTCGAGAGCGGCACTTGCATCTACATGAATCGCATTTCGTCGGACACGATCTTCGTCACCGCTCCCCACGAGGCATCGAGCGGAATAATCGGAGTCAACCGCAAAGGTCAGGTGCTCTCGGTCTCGGTGGACGAAGAGAACATCGTCAACTACATCATGACAACACTCAACAATCCGGACCTCGCCCTTCGGATCGCCTCTCGTAACAACCTGCCCGGCGCGGACGACCTCTTCGTCCACAAATTCAACAACCTGTTCCAGAGCGGGCAGTACACGGAAGCTGCGAAAGTGGCCGCCAACGCCCCGAAAGGAATTCTGCGGACGCCGCAAACGATCCAACGTTTCCAGCAGGTCCCTCAGCAGCCGGGCCAGACGACTCCATTGCTCCAGTATTTTGGAATTCTGCTCGACAAGGGAAAACTGAACAAATTCGAATCTTTGGAGCTGTGTCGCCCCGTCCTCCAACAGGGTAGGAAACAACTTCTGGAAAAATGGCTCAAGGATGAGAAGTTGGAGTGTTCGGAGGAACTTGGAGACCTGGTCAAACAGGTGGATCCGACGCTAGCCCTCGCCGTGTACTTGCGGGCCAACGTTCCACCTAAGGTTATCCAGTGCTTCGCGGAAACCGGACAATTCCAGAAGATCGTACTCTACGCCAAAAAGGTCGGCTACACACCCGACTACATCCAGATCCTCCGACAGGTCATGCGTGTGGCACCCGATCAGGGTCCCGTGTTCGCGCAGATGCTTGTGGCGGATGGCGAACAGCCTTTGGCAGATGTTGCCCAGATAGTGGACGTGTTCATGGAAGCTAACCTCGTTCAGCAGTGCACGGCATTCTTGTTGGATGCCCTCAAACACAACCGGCCCACCGAAGGTGCTCTACAGACGAGACTGCTCGAGATGAATTTGATCGCCGCCCCCCAAGTGAGTACCACCCGAGAGTCAATAGAAAAGAAATAGCGAACTCTTGCGAATTAATGAGGAAGCTTTTTTTGTGAAACATTATTTTCAATACCGTGGCGGGGTCATCGCGCGCGTGCTCACACTCTGTGTCTTCGGCGTTTCAGGTGGCTGACGCGATTCTTGGCAACCAGATGTTCTCTCACTACGACAAAGCACACATCGCGCAACTTTGCGAAAAAGCGAACCTTCTCCAGCGCGCTCTGGAGCACTACACGGATCTTTACGACATCAAGAGAGCCATCGTGAATACTCATCTTCTGAACGCCGATTGGCTGGTCAATTACTTCGGATCCCTTTCGGTTGAAGACTCACTCGAGTGTCTGAAAGCCATGCTGTCTCACAACATACGCCAAAACCTCCAGATCTGCGTGCAGGTGGCGACCAAGTACCACGAGCAGCTGACGACTGTGGCACTGATCGAGCTGTTCGAGTCGTTCAAGTCGTACGAGGGCCTCTTCTACTTCCTGGGGAGCATCGTGAATTTCTCCCAGGATCCCGAAGTCCATTTCAAGTACATCCAGGCCGCGTGTAAGACCGGACAGATCAAAGAGGTCGAGCGAATCTGTCGCGAGTCCAACTGCTACAACGCCGAGCGCGTGAAGAATTTCCTCAAGGAGGCGAAGCTCACCGACCAGCTGCCGCTCATCATTGTGTGCGATCGCTTCGATTTTGTGCACGACCTCGTTCTCTACCTGTACCGGAACAACTTGCAGAAGTACATCGAGATCTACGTGCAGAAGGTGAACCCCTCCCGGCTGCCGGTCGTGGTCGGAGGACTCCTCGATGTCGACTGTTCCGAGGACGTGATCAAGTCGCTGATCATCGCCGTACGAGGGGGACAGTTCTCGACCGACGAACTCGTGGACGAAGTTGAGAAACGGAACCGTTTGAAACTTCTGCTCCCTTGGCTGGAGACCCGCGTGCACGAAGGCTGCACCGAGCCAGCCACTCACAATGCTCTTGCCAAAATCTACATCGACTCGAACAACAATCCGGAGAGGTATCTCCGCGAGAACGCCTACTACGACAGTCGTGTAGTCGGAAAGTACTGTGAGAAACGAGATCCGCATCTGGCCTGCATCGCCTACGAGCGCGGCCAGTGCGATCGCGAACTGATCAAAGTCTGCAATGAGAACTCCCTCTTCAAAAGCGAAGCCCGTTACTTGGTCCGCAGGAAGGACACCGATCTCTGGATCGAGGTCCTGCAGGAAGACAACCCGTACCGACGGCAGCTCATCGACCAGGTCGTGCAGACCGCCCTGTCCGAAACTCAGGACCCTGACGACATTTCGGTGACTGTCAAAGCTTTCATGTCGGCGGATCTTCCCAACGAGCTGATCGAACTGCTCGAGAAGATCGTTCTGGAGAACTCGGTCTTCTCCGATCACAGGAATCTTCAGAATCTGCTCATCCTCACCGCCGTCAAGGTGAGGACCTATGATAGACGTCATGATCATCGAATTGTCGATGATTGACGATGACGTCATTGATGATTCAAGCGGTTCGGACGAATGATACCGTCGACATAGTACTGTGTCCAAAGGCGTTCTTGTTTTTTTTCTTCTTCAGGCTGACAAAAGCCGTGTTATGGAATACATCAACCGGCTGGACAACTACGACGCTCCGGATATAGCTAAGATCTCGATCGAAGGCGAACTTTTCGAGGAGGCTTTCGCCATATACAAGAAATTCGACGTCAACACCTCTGCGGTCCAGGTCCTCATCGAAAACATCAAGAACCTCGATCGCGCTTACGAATTCGCCGAACGCTGCAACGAGCCCGGCGTCTGGAGTCAGCTCGGGAAAGCTCAGCTGGCCCAGGGACTTGTGAAGGAGGCCATCGACGCCTTCATCAAGGCGGGCGATCACACCACGTACCTCGACGTTGTCGAGACGGCCCACAAGAAGAACAGTTGGGAGGATCTCGTCAGGTAAGTCACCGGATTCTTTCCCCCCTTGCCGTGGAATTCCGCCGCGACGAATCCGTTCGGCCTCTGACAAGAATCTCTCTCAGGAACTTTTTCTTCCGTCCACAGGTATCTTCAGATGGCTCGCAAGAAAGGTCGTGAGAGCTATATCGAAAGCGAGCTGATTTACGCCTATGCGAAGACGTCGCGTCTCGCCGACCTCGAGGAATTCGTCTCGTCCCCGAACCACGCCGACGTCCAACGCATCGGAGACCGCTGTTTCGACGACGCGCTTTACGAGGCGGCCAAGCTTCTCTACAACAATGTTTCCAATTTCGCACGTTTAGCCATAACGCTCGTGCATTTGAAGGAGTACCAAGGCGCGGTGGATTCCGCCCGGAAAGCGAACTCCACTCGCACGTGGAAGGAGGTTTGTTTCGCTTGCGTCGACTCTGGCGAGTTCCGTCTTGCCCAGATGTGTGGCCTCCACATTGTCGTACACGCCGACGAACTGGAAGACCTCATCAGCTATTACCAGGACCGTGGCCACTTCGAAGAGCTGATCGCTCTGCTCGAAGCCGCTCTTGGCTTGGAGCGCGCACATATGGGCATGTTCACGGAGCTTGCCATTCTCTATTCCAAGTACAAGACGTCTAAGATGCGTGAACACCTCGAACTCTTCTGGAGTCGTGTCAACATTCCAAAAGTGCTCCGAGCCGCCGAGCAGGCCCATTTGTGGGCGGAGCTGGTATTCCTCTACGACAAATACGAAGAGTTCGACAACGCCGTCGTCACGATGATGGTCCACCCCACCGAGGCCTGGAAAGAGGGCCACTTCAAGGAGTGTGTCCAGAAAGTTGCCAACATGGAGCTCTACTATCGCGCTATTCAGTTTTATCTCGACTATAAACCGTTGCTCCTCAACGATCTGCTGCTCGTTCTCGCTCCACGGATGGATCATACGCGTGCGGTGAGCATGTTCGCCAAGCAGAACCATTTACCTCTCGTGAAGCCGTACCTTCGCTCCGTGCAGTCACTCAACAACAAGGCGATCAACGAAGCTCTCAACGGACTGCTCATCGACGAAGAAGACTTCAACGGACTCCGTGCCTCGATCGATGCATTCGACAACTTCGACAACATCGCCCTAGCGCAGAAACTCGAAAAGCACGAGCTGATTGAGTTTCGACGAATTGCTGCCTATCTGTACAAGGGCAACAATCGCTGGAAGCAATCTGTTGAGCTCTGCAAGGCCGATAGATTATTCCGGGATGCGATGGAATACGCAGCCGAAAGCAAAAATCGCGAAACAGCCGAAGAGCTCCTCGAGTGGTTCCTGGAGGAGAAGAACTTCGAGTGTTTCGGAGCGATGTTGTTCCAATGTTACGATCTTCTCAAGCCGGATGTCATCATGGAGCTCGCCTGGAAAAATGGAATTACGGATTTCGCCATGCCGTATTTCATTCAGGTCATGCGAGAGTATACTGCCAAGGTGGACAAGCTCGAGGAGCTGGAAAACCAACGTCTTGAAGAGAGCGCACAGAATGAAAACAAGGGCTCGCTTGTATACGGTAAGTGTTTTTTATCGCTTCCGGAAACTGCACGGGAGGATTTTTCTCCCACTGATTACGTAGTTCGTTCATTTTTTGAGATTCAACTTCTAAGAATGGAAAAATCCGTTGAGAATAATTCTGCAGACGTATGGAACCTCCGTGAGGGCGCCTCCTTGACGATTTCCGACGCACATATGCACGAATCCTCACGACCCTATGTTTCGATTTTAGCGCCCGAGCCCCAGCTGATGCTGACTGCCGCACCAGGCATGATGGCAGGCCAGGCACCGTACGCGGGATATGGCGCGCCTGGGATGAATCCCGGCATGGGACCGCAAGGCGGACCCGGCGTACCCGGATACCCTGGCTACAGCATGTGAACCCCGGAGGTCTATCGAGTAGAAAATCTGACCACTCCACAGTCATCATCTTCTCGCAAGGACGATATTCCTCGAATATGTGGATTCGTGAGGCATGAGAGAGACTCGACAACGGCGGAAGACGGTCCCAGAAGATAGAGGAACCACCACCAGCGACGGGAAAAATCAATAACAATTGCAAAAACGATTGCAACAACTGAAAAAGCGGACGGAGGTGCCTGTGTGTGAGCGAAATTCCCGAACTCTCTTGAGAAACGATCATCAATTTTCGGAGGTTCTCAACTTCGACTGCAGAAGGACGATTGACTGATTGACCGACTGACTGACTGTCTGACTGACTGACTTTTAGAAAACAGATATACATCCTTAAGGAAAAAAATATATCAACAGAGCAGCCCGTAGAAGCTTTCTCACGAACGGTGGCGAGGTGTAAACGAGCTACCCGACGCGCTTGAAAATCAAAAGAAGACGCCAAAGAGGAGTCCACCACCTCATCCGTAGTAGTCGTCAAGCTAATTGTCAACACAGACATCATAGCGCATTGGAATCGGGGACGACTGCAGATGGAAGTCTAGTTATCGTCACTCTCAGTAGAAGCGATATCGACTGAAGGAGGCGATTGCCTAACTCGGAAAAAGACGATTGTTCTCATTCTCGCGGAATTCTTTAAAGCCTTATTTTATGAATCGAAGAGTCGAATTTAGCCTGAGTTAGCAATAATGCGTTCTCCGGTGTCTCATTCTACGATATACATTTTTAAATGATGGGTTTGATGAGAGTGGATGTATAATTATAAATGTCGAAATCTACTATATAAAGATGAAGAAAAATTGTTTAAATCCCAGTTTTTTCCCATGTGTCATGGGCCGCGGGGTCGATTTGAGAAGATACCTCAACAGAATCAAAGATCTGCGATGTCTACGAGCGCCGTGTCTAGGGGTCGAGACATCGAAGGTGAACCATCTCTATTTTTTCTATTCCTTTCCCTCCTATTCTCGCATTCAGTTGGTCCCGAGATTTTTCCCGGTCAGAATGAATCAATCTTCCGGATGCCGGAAATTGATGACGTCAGCTGATATAGCAACATGCGTGGTATCTTCTCGGACGAGCGAGATCAACCGGAAAGAAAGAACCCCAAATGTCCGCTTCGAACGCGAAAGACTATGGAAGCGGTCGTACGAAGCATGAAAATTCACAGGAATCGCAGTCGATTCATAGTCTTGACAATAAGAGAAATATACCGAGAAACGAAAACAACGAAAAGCGTTATTATTATGAAAGATTTTCCTGCAGCACTCAACCGATTCAGTCAGCAGCTTATCCATCGGTGACCTTCCGGGGTATCCCAGAAATCTGTTCTCGAAGATCCTCGGCCAAGCTCCCCGTCCTCTCCCTGGCCGGAGGTTGCTTCGGCTCCGCATAAATTGGGAGAAATCGATGATTTTCAATCGACGCTCTCCATGAACGCAGATGTCGCAAAATAAAAATAGCCTCGACATTTGCGAAAGCTGGTCTCTGCCGGCGAGTTGAAATATTTCTTCCCACCATTGTGACGCGTCGCTCGGCTCTATAAATACCGTAATGCTACAAAGTGATTGTCGTATAGGGTGGAGGCGGTTCTCCGCTTGGGTGCGAGGCGATCTGCCAATCACCTCGGTGATTCATATTGACGCACGCCGATGAACATCGGCAGAGGTTGTCGAGTCTTCTCCGAGTGTATAGCTGTGCGAAACCGGAGTTGTGTAAGCATTACGATCGGAAAGACCAACTATGAAGATCGGGAGTCTGAGCGGAATCGGGCTCAGTGCACAGTCTGTCGGAAAATTTCCAGGGCGCCCTCGGTGAAACTTAGTTCACGTTTCGAGTCGAACTGGAGGAGTTTCACCTGTAGTCAGCTCCGAGATCCAAAGAATGTACACCAGGAAGGCTCCGCTCCCCAATCACCCTCATAACCGACGAGAGAGATTCTTGGTAATAAGTGAAAATCCGTTCGGAAGCTTCCGAACTCTATCGCTCAGAAGAGCGAGGGATGTCTAGCAGCTATGGTTGCTGGGAGGCACTTGGACCGGCGCTGGGAGGTTCGTGGAGTCTCGTTGGAGTGAAGCTGATGTATGTAAATATATTCAACATGTATCAATATTGTCGAGAGAGATCTCGAGTGAATGGGAACTTCTGGCAAGGGAAGATATCACCCTCCGGAATAAACATGTGACAGCACGTGGTCTCAGAATCATTCAAGGCCCGATCGAGACGATAAAATCTCTCACTGACCCCTCCGAAAATGTGGAGCTGAAGCGCGGCGAGGCGGTCGAGCGGCGTGCGCGCCACGCACTCCGGAAGCGCGGTGAGCACTCGGCTGCCTGGAACGCAGTCGCCACGCAATGATGGAGGGAATGCCCGGAAGGAACTCCTGCCTGATCAGCGTTCATGGTGGGGAGAATCGGTCCGAGCTGCTCTTAGAATATACCCGAACTCTATCAATCCGATCCCGATTGAGGCGCTTTCCCTCCCCCGATCGGAGGAAAATTGGTGGTTCGCGATGTATTCAGAGTCGGGCCGAGCAACAGGCGCTGTGAGGATAACCGAAGCGAGCTCCGATAGTAGATGAGGCTTCATCGTATCTCTAGCTAAAATTCTCGCGGAGCGACGATACGTCTAGTCCATGAAGATAATCGCGAGAGACAGTTTCCGGATGCTAGCGCACGCTTCCGCGTGATCTTCTCGACTTGGATGCTGGAGCGGCTCAACGAGTTTCAGCCTTCGAAACTCCGGATCGCTGCCCACAGGAGCGCGCCCGCCGAGTTCCGATCGCGGGGCGCCGTTCTCTCCTGCCGGTATGAACCTCGAGTTTCCGCTTCTGGCTGATGATCCTACCTAGCAGGGGACCGTCGTGACACAGGATGCGGCGCGAACGCTGTTGCGAAAAAGGTGCCGTGTTCAGCCGACACGCTTTCCGAGACTCTTTCAGGAGCGTCGAGATCCCGGCCGACTAAAGAGAACCATTCCGATCGAAAGTGATCGAGTGGGAGCTCAAGATCGATTCCGGCGAAGCAGTACCCGAGCTCTCCTCCCTGCGTACGCTCGCAGGGCGTATGTACATAAATATAGAGTGGCACATCGACATGGCAAGTGAAGGCTTTCTTTCGGCACCATTACTTCTATAGATCCGTGAGAAATGATTGAGAGCATCAATCTTTCATCTATACATATATCCAAGAACCACCTGATCGAGTAAGCAGGAGCTCATAGCTGACAGCCGGGCAAACAGACATACGTCCATTCTTTTGCGTAGAAAATTATTTATCTATCTCGATCAGTCTTCATTGAAATGTCAGGGAAAAACTCACCGTCAGCCTGCGCTGGTAAATCATCGACCATCGAGAAGAAGAGGTAGCCAGGGTTCGAATATTCATTCGCAGTCGGAGATGATCTCGTGCAAGCTCGAGTCCACCGACCATCATCGTAGTTTCAGCCCGATCTTATGCGGAGCGTTCGAGATCCGACCTATAGAGGGAGCTCGAGACTTACGCGTCCACGATTCATTTGCATATGCTTCCTGGAAATAGCTTCGAGCACGTCGGCGGGACTCGAAGTCCCGTCGGCGTCGCGTTGACAATTGTTGAATTATTATTGAGGAAGTCCGCCTTGTTGACCGGCGGCGCTCTTCCTCTTCGCCTACACTTATGACCTGCTGCTTATGTTGTTGGTGTCGCACGAGTGATTTGTTCGAGACAATTCAATCGTATCCTGTCGATTGAGAACTCGGTCGCAGACGCTCGCGAGCAGATGCGTGGGTATCGCGCGAGAAGATGTTGAATTCATCTGGGCTAAGCAAATACAAACGGCAAGAGTCAAATCGCAAAACGCTGTGCGACGTAATTTATTTCATCCTCGATCGTCTCGTCAGAGATTCGCCCGGACTCAATGCAGACTTCGACCAGAACAATGACCGGTGCAGCGAAGCTCAGATCAAGGGTGGTAACGCTTGATTACCGACTGGTTAGCAGTGCGAGATTTCAGCTGAGTAAATGCTCGACTCAATCAAACCACCTACGTAGTTCAGAGAGCGGTGAGAGAGAACGCGCAAGGCCGAGAGTGGGAGTCGCTTTGCTTCTGCGTAATCTGCGTCTGGAAGAATAACATTGCGGGAGTAGCATCTCCGATGGGTTAGAGTCGCATGCGAGAAGCGTCGAGACCCCATCGCTCCCCGACTCCTTGATGGAAGCGTCGATACATTTCCCCTGCTGCAGAGAGGGATTTTCGGGAGAAAAAGTTTCAGACGCCGGAAGGCTCGTAAATCAGGCTCCTTAACACGCGGATCGGGAATCTAGGATCCGTGTTCAGTCGTGAGGACGATTTTACGGTGGAGGGAAAGCGAGGCAACGGCCGAGCGCGGACCCATCCAGATGGGCTCTGGACCTAGAATTGAGAGAGTAATTCTCATTCTGTAATTGTAGAGCATCGCTCTTCCCCTAGCCGCTCGGTACCAGTTGTCAGAACGGCTGCAGAGTTAGGCAAAATCAGAGAGCTTTTAACTAGTCGAGTTGGTCGAGTTTCTAGTTACATCTGAGAGCGGTCGCAGCTCGAAGATACTGCAGAATCATACGCAGATCGGCCAGAAGCTGGTGGGCTCTCTGCCGAACTGAATGTTCTCGCGGAATGTGCTCATCGCTTGCCTCCGCGTCGCTGCTGCTGCTGAGTTTCTACGAGCCAGACTCACGGGTAAGGCGCCCCGCATCTGCGAGAGACGCGCGCGGGCCCTAGACTCACCGGCTCTCGGTGTAGACTCGGAGACCTCACCGACTTGACGAGGACCAGCGTCGAGCCAGAAGCATTTAACTCCAAGATTCATTTTGGAATCCCATGGTTGTGTGGAGCTGAGAGCCGCTCGGAAGGATTAACCTGTTCGCGTCGACCCTCGTTTGTGTTTCCCAGTTTCTCCCAACCGTGCTCTGCTTGGATACCGATCGTCGATCAAGGGAGTCATGCGTGGTACGTCATTGGGTAGATCTTTGGCTCTTCCGGGACCCGACTCGCGGATTCGGGCGAGTATTCGCGGAGCTAATCGCTTCTCAATTCGATTAGTTAGGGGTGAAGTCGCTTCCGAATCTCATGAGGCTATGACCGTGGGCCGTGAATCGTACGAGTGACACGGAGAGTTCTGATCGATTTTCAATCGACTCGATCCCCGCAGGGAAGCGTTAGCGTGAACGACTTCCGAAGCAAAAGGCTCTTTCTGAAGACCGCTTATTTCACGGTTCTCCATTGTGAGGAGAACTCTATTGTAGAGCACCTGACTAATCTTCTCGATGTCAACAAGTCGCTCATATCCTCAGGGAGATAAGCTGCGCGCGTGTGAATTTTCGAAAGTGATCTTGACCGCGCGTGCACGCAAGGAAGTCTGCACTCGATTTCCTGACCTCAATGCTTCCTTGTTATGCATGCTCAGAGTGTCGACGCTGCGGCGAACACACTAAGTTTGGCGAGCTCTGTTCGCGCCGAACGAAGTTGCGTTCTTTCCTTGAGGCTATTCTCAACGTAGGTCGCGAACGCCTAGCCAACGATGGTTCTCGGTGTTCGCGGTCAACGCTCGCATGAATTCATTATCCGATCCCATCCATGCGGTCCATCATCGACGGACAGTGTCGCTGAGGAAAAGCATCTCAATCGATGGGAGAACGTGAATTAGCGTGGGTTGGTCTTCGGGAATTCTACATATAGTCATGACCCGGATAGAGAGAGCCCAATCTCGTATGCGCGCTGCGACTAAATGTCAAAATATCGGGACTGAAGCTCGTTATAGGGCGCAAAAATGTCAAGTTCAATCAATGAAAGATGGTTTTCGACATTCTGTATGGCCCGATGAGCCCAAGGTTGACCTTGCCACCTGGAGAGTAGCTCTACTTTGAGTTCTTCAAAAGTATGCTGTCCTTTCGTGAACGGAGCCACAACTCCTACTGGGCACTAGTTCCTCCTAGAAAATACTGTCAAACTGTGAGTGAGCTTCATGCTCTATGATAGGTTCCAATCGATATATTTCGTATGCTTGAAGCCAGGGGAATTCGTTTCCGCTTGAAAGAGGAAAATTACGACTGCGAACTCGACGGTCAGCTCGCCGTACCTCCTTGGGCTTGAGAGAGATCTTTGTTCCGATCACACGTACATCCACCGATCCGATGACGACTGACGACGAAGGTCGGCGTTTAATCGCATTCCGAGTTCTCCTCACTCAGTCTTGAATTCGACTTTTACACAAGTCATGCGGAGCCCTTCAGATTCGGATCCATTGTGTCGAGTTCCGGCGCTTATATTTATTGATTCTCATTCGTAATCGAATACCGAGCCTGCTGATTGCATCGCTATTTTATGGAACCTGAGTGGGATGAGAGGAATTTGCGCTTCGGAACGATTGGATCTTGATGCGATGTGGAGCTCGTGTGAGAATTCGGATGGATCGACTCCTCCAAAGGGGAAGTCGAGTAGACGCTCAAGGAACGCGAACGTACATCATACGCTCCAGGGAATAGTCGTGAGGACATCAGACGGGGCCTCCGTTGCGAACTCGAGGGATCCCCGACAAGAGATGCGGATCTGGGGTCGGCTCATGGATTGTGTCATTGGGATTTGAACGAACGCCATTCGGCTGCGCATGTTTCGGCCTTCGATTCCATTTTTCTTCTCTCGGGAGGTCCCGGAGACGATCTAGAGTTCGCGCTCTCTTGTTTCTCTCACCTATCAGGCACCGGATGATTCTCCATTGTTGGTCCGGAGTTCAAACGAATGAGACCGCCCCTCGGAGACTTCCCCGAATTCCAGATTGGGAACCTTCGAGGAGGGAGTAGCGGACTTTGGATAATTTCGGGGTCCCGTGATCCCAATATCGGTCCAGCCTTCGGTCCAATGAGAGCGACACTCGAAAAGCCCAGCAGCCGGACTCCTACGGGGAGTAAGATGACTTCCCGCTTTCTAATATTTCCGCCCCCGTCTCCTGCTCAAAGTGGTAAAATGACGTCTGGATGAGAGACTGAGATCCGGTCCTGCTAGGCAGCCTTGGACTCAAGACAAGTCTCTCAGAAGCTGAGATCAACAGCCAGTGAGCTTCGATGAAGGTCCAGCTCGTTTCTCTGCTCCTGAAATTCCCGCTAGCGTTCCTAATGACTCTGGAGTGATTTCGCTCGCTCCATTCCCGCTCCGAGGCACCTACGGCGTCGCCGTCACTTGGTGTTGATTCGACCCGTAAGTTGAGAGAATGACCCATGAAAGCGATTCCCTTCCTTCCACCATCCGGTAAGCTCGAATCGACGGAGATGAAGTGCGGTCACAAATCCCTGGAGCGTGGCTTCGTTCAAAAGCTCAGCGGATTACTAAGATAGGTTCTCTACCTCAAAAATTAGAACGATGTCTCTCGATGCGAAGGGAGCTATTGGAGGCATACAGGCCCACAAACGGACGAAAGGGCCCGCACACGCCTCCACTGGCCCCCCTTCGTTCTGTCTGGACTCTTCCGTGGGCTCGGTCCGCCGAAGGAGATCGTTACGATCCATAAACGTCGAGGTGCTCTGATTGTCGTATCCTCAGATCATACTATATCGCGGAAATGCAAGGCCAGACAGAAAGGGGACCTCACTTTCACATCTCATTGAAGGCTGTGTCTGATTGATCGTCGGACGATCCTCTTTAATGTGGTGCGGATCTGCCAAGATTCAGGCTCCGAAATGAGCTATTTAAGTACGCTTCGAGAGGCAAAAATTCAACCTTTTTTTTTATAGCTCAAGACGTCATCGATCTCGCTCGAAACGAACGACCATACAGCTCAGATTGAGCGCGAGGTGCTAGTCGACGAATATTTCCGCCGTCGGAATGCCTTCCGAATGGTGGCATCCTGCGACTAAGTCCTCCGCGCCAGGAAGTATGAGATGCTGCCTTAACAACAGGCTGACCTTGAGAGATCACAAGCTTCACTTTCTCAATTTTCCCTGTCTTCTTTCTCAAGTGACGGCCTACTGGCTACTCGCTGGTCTATCTCGGTCGGTCAAATGGTTGGTTATGTGCCTGTGGGAGAAGGCCAGCTTCGCACGACCTTGTTTCGTCGACGACTTCTCCACCGTCAGACTGTCGCTGACCACCTCAGATTACATACCCGGATGTTTACTCTGGCCGGTTATAGATAGAAGCAGCATCGCCGACAACCACCTGATGCGCGACAGGAAGATAAGGCTAGCAGTTCTTTAATGCCCTAAGTAAAGGTGGAATCTTATGATCGAGGAGCAATCAATTAGTTGATCATCAATTTATCATACGAACCGTCTGAGATTTCGATTGAAGCCGAACCAGTCGATGGGACGGCACGAATGAATTCCTGAGAAGTCAGTAGTAATCATTTTGATGAAATTTAATTCATATTATTCCACCGAGAGGTTTCTAATGCGTATGTGATCGAATCATGGAGCTCGTACTCATGATATTCCTCGCGTCAGCGTCGCGAGGGATGGGTGGATATTTCCTCCGGGACCGAGATTCCCCGCTTGGGAGAAATCGCTTGAGCTCTGAGCGAATCCTCACTCCTGTCGCCCACTCGTGTGACCCCCATCGCTATACCGATATGCGTGAGCTTCGAGCAGCGTAGAGTCTTGAGGAGAGCATAGGGTGAGAAGTGGAAAAATGCAAGCTCGCCCCCAATGTAGGCTCACCGGCGAGGAGAGCCCTCTCGAAGGGAGGCCGAAGTGTGACTCGTCGCGGTGATTTCTTAAACAAAGCTTCGAATTCAGATACGCTCGTTGAAGGCAACGAGTGTTCGCCCGTGGGCATGAGATCCGGACGAAGAGACATTCCTTGGGCCACAATGCTTTGCTTTTGTATAAAACTGAGACTCTGCGAGATCCTTATCTCAAACGGGGCGCGAACGACTGGGTCCAAGCATTGTCTTAACCGATACACAGGCTTCACAATCGAGCTTGGGGACGCGGGACTAATATCTCAACAGCTCTTGATATCTCGGAAGACCATAAGTCTCAGAGGTTCCTTGTTGCTGACTATTTGAGAGACGATGGACCGTCAAAGAATGAAATCCCAGGAAACGACATGCCGGGAGAGCCCTGCTTCGATTAATTTCATTTCGAGCATCTGGTTGTGGTACATTGGTCGGTCTCCTGCTGTTTCGAAGATCATATATGGAACATGAAAGAGTCTTGACTCTTGACGCTTCTCTTCTCCTCGCAGAGAATGACTGGAGCTGGATCTCCAATGAAATGTAGGAATCATGGCATCTGGGTCCTGATATACCGTCGCACTTAGCCAGCTACCAATCTCATCAACCGCAGGCATCTACTCAGCATGGAGTCCGAAATAAGAATCAAGGTGAGAGCCCATCGTAGGGTGCGTGAGATCTCGTTGGAATAGAGTATGACTCCTACATTCTCACAGATTCCCATTTTTCTTCTCTTCCTACAGTGAGAATTTAGCACTGGGTCTTCCTTGAAGTGAAGACGTGAATGGTTGAGATTTTATGTGTTCCTTGGTGTCTTACTGATGCATCCGAATGGTGGTAGATCTACTCACTTACTCGATCAAGTATATCGAAGTTTTGCTCGGTGTCATATGGAAATGGTGGAATCTTCCGACTCCGGTTCGTGAATGTTAACGGCGACGAGGAGGAACCGCGCGTTGTCCATAAGTTGGTAGAAACTAGTTGTACATTTCAGCCGAGTCCCCGAAGTCGTCCGCCGAACAACCTTTGATTTTAATTACCAGGTGGGCGAATTACCGACCTTTGATGTTGGCTTCAAGCTCGCTTCGCGGCCGTTCTTCGACTGGCTTGAGCTTTCTGAGCCTTTCGCGGCTTCTACTTTGGTGTTTTGCTTTCCGCTCTCCGCTTCTCCACTCGAAATAGTCCTGAGGAAGCATTTTTATGCTCAGGAATGTAAGATTCAGGCTCGCTTCTGGTCCATATGCATTTGCTTCATGAGGGCAACTAGAATAGGGTTCCGAAGATTCGCTCTCCATCCTTCTTCTCCTCCTTGTCCTCGGTGAACTTCAAAAACGAGGAGGTAGGGGGGAGGGGACTCAGAGGTTCCCGCCGAATCATTAGAGAACCGATAGAGCCGAACCGGGACCTTGGGAT